TGTAACCACTTATAGCTTTTTTTTTTTTTTTAACAAACCATATTAGCCTCACATCTCGCAATAATGTGGTTCAAATTCGTCTTTAGCAAGAATCAAACATCAAACCTCTCACTTACAAGTGAAGAGGAATATCACTAGACCATAGTACTAAGTAGGGTAACTACGTATAGTTTGACTTGCCTTTTGAATCCAAAATCAGGCAGGTTGCTTCCATAATATATAGTTATTCTTTGTATTAACTATTTATTTTTATTTTTTGTTTATTAACTATTTAATTTCAATTTGCCCTAATTATTATTAGAATCTCCCTCCAAAAACCAAACCACATCAATCTTTCCGAAAAAAAATACAGTGTGATTGTCTCATATGGTAAATCATTTTATTAATATTCTAGTACATGAACCTATGTTGATGTTATACCATGTTAGGTTATACATGAACCTATATTAATACTCTACCATGTTAATCTAATTACAATAGGAAACAAATCATATTTAGTATTTACAACTAAATACCATAACTCAGGCCAGCATACCATAAGCTTAATTACGTTGTCTGTCTATCCATATTATAATATATGAATTAATAATGTAACATGTACCAATGTAACGCTCAAAAAAAAGTTTATCCAATTCTTATCCTAAAAGCTTGTGACACCATGTGATGAAACGCTTGGAATGCCCTACTACTTCCTAAATTTCAGGTTTTCACACTTTCTGCCCTGCATGGTGCCCATTTGTCCTTAAAATATATCCAAGAAGATTCCCTTCCTAGCCAACTCAAGCATCTTGATACAAATATATATAACTCTAACCACCACCCTAGCATAAGACACAATTTCACACCAAAGAAAGAGAGAGACAGAAAGAGAAAGAGAGGGGAGAGATAGGAGAGAGAGAGAGAGAGAGAGAGAGAGAGAGATGGGGGGAGAGTTCTGTGTAGCAATGGGAAATGGAGTTCTCACAAAGATAGGCAAGTCATGGAGCAAACTAGAGAAAGGCTTAAACGATGGAGTTTCAAAGAGCAAAGTTGGCAAATACTTCAAGTTAGAAGCAAGGAGGAGTTGCTTCACCAAGGAGCTACGTGCCGGCCTAGCCACGTTCCTCACCATGGCCTACATCATCTCCGTTAACGCCACCATCCTCGCCGACTCAGGCGGCACATGCTCCATCGCCGACTGCTCTGTCCCGGTGAACCAAACCGCCACCCCGGATTGCATGATCCTCCCCAACGAAGGATACCAAAACTGCCTTGCAAAGATCAAGAGTGACCTCATTGTTGGCACAATTTTATCAGCCATGATCGGGTCGATTGCCATGGGCGTTTTAGCCAATCTACCCCTGGGGCTAGCCCCAGGGATGGGACCAAACGCCTACTTGGCTTATAATTTGGTGGGTTTTCATGGCAGTGGGAAACTGTCTTACCAAACTGCCCTAGCTGTGGTGCTACTCGAAGGAATTGCTTTTCTTGCAATTGCTGCTTTTGGGCTTAGAGAAAAGCTGGCCAGGCTCATCCCTCATCCTGTTAGACTTGCTTGTGCAGCAGGGATTGGGCTTTTTATAGCTTTTGTGGGCCTTCAAGTCCACCAAGGCGTGGGCCTAGTGGGCCCAGACCCATCCACATTGGTTACAATCACTGCTTGTGCTAACACAAACCCAGCAACTGGTGAGTGCCTTGGTGGGAAAATGCACAGCCCAAAGTTCTGGCTGGGTGCAGCTGGGTTTATAATCACATGTTACGGCCTAATGAAGGAGATTAAGGGCAGCATGATATACGGCATCGTTTTTGTCACATTCATTTCATGGTTTAGGGGCACAAGTGTGACGGTGTTTCCCAACACACAAATCGGTGACGCGGATTTCAGTTATTTCAAAAAAGTCGTCGACTTTCACAAGATTCAATCCACGGCCGGGGCTATAAGCTTCACCAACTTCAACAGGTCTGAGGTTTGGGTGGCTCTGGCAACCTTGCTCTACGTTGATGTTCTTGCCACCACAGGCACATTGTACACCATGGCCGAAATGGGCGGTTTCGTGAACGACGAAGGCGGGTTCGAAGGCGAGTACTCGGCGTACTTGGTTGATGCGGGGTCAACGGTCTTGGGAGCCGCACTGGGGGTGACCCCCATCGCGACGTACGTAGAATCTTCAGCGGGTTTGAGAGAAGGCGGGCGGACAGGGCTGACTGCAGTGACCATCGGTCTCTGTTTTTTCGTGTCGTTGTTTTTCGTTCCTCTTTTGTCTAGTGTGCCCCCGTGGGCTATAGGGCCTTCACTTGTGATGGTTGGGGTGATGACGATGAAGGTTGTGAAGGACATAGATTGGGGGAATATGAAGGCGGCTGCGCCTGCTTTCATGACTATGATTTTAATGCCTCTCACATATTCCATAGCAAATGGGATTATTGGTGGCATTGGGCTCTACGTTGCTCTTAATCTGTATGATTATTTGGTAATCATGATTAAGTGGTTGATTAAGATGAAAAGAATGGTGGGAAGAGAACATAATCAAGTGTCTGCAACAGCTCCTGTAGACTCGGCAATTGAAATTATTTGAAGCCGTTTTTTGGTTAAATTGTTGTTTTGGGGTGATTATAGGAGGACCCTTTTGTAATAAGTAGCTTTTATTTTTTTTGTTTTTTTCTCTTATTTATACCAGTGATATTACGAAGGGACGGACTCGAATATAGAACTTCGAATGCATAGTAAATACTAACCTCTTAATCAATCAATTTTTTATATTTTTAATATTTCAGGACCAACATCCTTGCTGCTGTAATTTACGCAATTTATGATTGAAGACCAGCATCCTCTCTACTTACGACAATTACACATCATGGACAAAGATTATGTTCCAGAATTAGCATATTTTAACAGACAAAAGCCAACAGTCAGGATCCAGGGCTTCTTGCTCCTGAATCCTGATGGAACTAAAACTAGGTCAAACTTTGTTAGACTACAACCTAATACGTGGTTCCTGCGTGCTGGTTTTGAAGCTCTACAGAAAGAGTAGAGCTATTTCAACCATCTGAACTGACCATTTTGCGTATTACTTCTCTGGTAGAGGTTAAATCCACATGTGTGGACCCCACCTCTATTAGAGTTACGTAAGGTGGTTTGTTCAAGATGATATAAATAACAATACTCCCACGGTACATACAAAAAAATCACAAAAAAGTGTTGTATCATCTTAGGTTCTAATTATATGGACGCTGCATATGCGTTCGGATGCATCTTCGATCCCAATAGCACACGTATCTCCCGGTTGAATGTTGTTTGCCTTGCTGAAAGCTTCCCAACCACCTGACAAAATTTTGGAGAAACAATTATCAATGTAGAGGACTGGCCACAATCTCATTGTTGTGTCTCGAAGGAAAATCACCCTCCTATCCGGTGTATGCCTTCCCCTGATGGTCATGCGTATTGGCAAGCGCACTGGCAGCTCCTGAACAAGAATCGAAGGGAGGTAAGATAAGTCAAGCAAAACCTAAAGAATGCTCGGTATCCAGTAAAAAATGATCACATATGCAAGGCGAATGCAGGGCTAGGACCTCGATCAAACAGGGCATATCCATTATAACAATCAGCTTGCTCTGATGAACATCTCCATAATTAGAAGTGTATAATTATCAGATGCACCGTTCTGTGAAAATGAAACGCTAGTGCATGTGTTCAAGTTTCCACATTGATTTCTCTATTTTTGCCCCAATGTCCATATATTGATCGAAAGTAGCTCTCAATGATCGATTGATTGACTCTACAAGATTGTGTCAAACTAACAGAACTCTGAATAGATAATATCAATATGTCAGCCTGTTCGGGCCAACAGAAAAACTTCCTATAGAAGCGCATGATTATCAGATGCATCCTTCTCAAAAATGAATTGACAGCATTTGGAAAGAGCTAACAAGGTTAACAAAAGAAAAGCATGTGTAAACATAAAGTAAAAGGAGGTAGCAGTACCAAGAATCAGTCAGTCCATAAATTTATCTTGTCGAAACAGAGTAAAAGTGAATGCTATGAAGGTGCAAAGAAAAGACATAAAATATATAAGGGGATTAACTAACGTACTAGAAACGATTGACTGCCCACTGCCACCAAGCAGGAGAACGATGAGCTTGGAAAGGTTTCAACTTGATCGACAGGTTCAGATTTTACCACAGGCATGGGAAACGCAATGTCCTTTTCTCTTTTAATCATATTAGAAATCTGACTGCACACTGCATCGACAGGCTCGAATGATTTCCCTGCATTTAGATGTATTGTAATTAATTTGGAGTGAGATATCCTACAGCAACACACACTCAGCATTTTTCTGCACAAACACAAATAGAGCTTCCCTTAATTAAATGATTTTTATAATAATATCATACCATCTATTTCTGGTATGATTTTCTGAAAGCATGGATCTGAAGTCAAATCTACAGACTCTTTTTTAACGGCCTTCATCATCATATCTGTTCACATCAGATATTCTTTTGGTATTAATAAATGACATTTTTCCGGAAACGGAGAGGTTCTCTAACAATTATGCAGGGACATATAGCATTTGGAAGAAATCAGTAGAATGACAAAAAAAATTTGGAATCCAAATGTAACAGGAATACCAAAAGACTCCAGAGGAGTTCCAGTAAAGTTCTCTTTAGCTCTTTGAAAACTGTCATCGATCAAATCATGCTCCTTTTTGGATGCTGCCACCTTATTGCCTGCCAATGAAATTGAGAATACATAACAAACAAAATTAAGATATTGAACACAAAGAAAACCGTGTATACTACAGACATTATACACTCAGGAAACCGACAATCAAACAGTTAGGAGCAAGGAATTAACTGCGTCTTACCTGATCCGCCATCATTCAGCAATTCTATTATATTGTTTACAGAGACGCTACCTGTATCATTAGGATTCACAGCAGCTGTTGGGAAGAGATGATGAGAGGTCTTGTTGGTGGTTCTTGAATCATCACCAGAAGGTGATACCTTTTTCACTATGGCTTCAGAAGAGTTATTTTTCTCAGTCCCATCAAACTTATATGCATCAAATGGAATTGCTATAGTCACTGCTTCTCTAGCCACTGGAGCTTTATCAACTAAACTAGCCTCACCTGTCAATCTTAGTGATGAATCATCATGACATGAGCATGTTTCATCCATCGGAATTGCTGCAGTCACATGCCTCTTTAGCCACTGGACTTTTATCAACTGAGCCAGCCTCGTTTCTCAATCTTAGTGATGAATCATCATGAGGTGAGTAGGTTTCATCCATTGGAAATGCTGCAGCCACTGCTTCTTTAGCCACGGGATTTTTATCAACCGAGCCAGCCTCGTTTCTCAATCTTACAGATGAATCATCATGATGTGAGCATGTTTCATCCCAAACAACTACTTCATTGCTTCCACCAGTGCCAGACTTCAGTTCGAATAGTTCAAAATTCAGTGAATCATAAATACAGCTTCTGTTGTCTTCTTGTTTGTCTCCCAGTTCTCTATCGATCATACAGATCATATCTTCAATGTATTCTTCTTTTGGCTTGAGCTTTGGCATTTCATTACTATCATCATAGTTTGAAGCATTTTCTGTTGCAATTGTACATTCCCCCTTGTCATTCATATCATACAGGTGTTGATCTATATCTCCATCTGATTCTTTCAGCTTAAGCTTTGACCCTTTATGACTATTATCACAGTTTGAAGCATTTTTGGTGACCACAGGTGCTTTCGTCTTAGCATTCATACCATACAGATCTTGACTTATATCTCCATCTGGTTCTTTCAGCTTATACTTTGACCTTTCATGACTATTATCACACAAAGCATTTCCGGTGACCACAGGTGCTTTCCTCTTGGCATTCATACCACAAACGTGTTGACCTATATCTCCATCCGGTTCTTTTAGCTTAAGCTTTGACCTTTCATGACTATTATCACAGTTTGAAGCATTTCCAGTGACCACGGGTGCTTTCGTCTTGGCATTCATACCATACAGATCTTGACCTACATCTCCATCTGGTTTTTTCCGCTTAAGCTTTGACCTTTCATGACTATTATCACGGTTTGAAGCATTTCCCATGACCATAGGTGCTTTCCTCTTGGAATTCATATCATACAGGTGTTGACCTATATCTCTATCTGGTTCTTTCAGCTTAAGCTTTGACCTGTCATGACTATTATCACACTTTGAAGCATTTCCCATGACCATAGGTGCTTTCCTCTTGGCATTCATCGGATCCAGATCTTGACCTATATCTTCATCTGCGTCAGACATAAGAGAGGTGCTTGAATCCTGTTTGTCCATCAAACTGTTATCAACTGTGTGGCAAGGACCATCTTTGACAGAGGAATTTTGGTTATCCCACGTCCATTTCTTCTGATTCATGGCCTCAGGAAACTTGAGCTTCTCACACCCTGACTTGTCATAAATCTTAACATCAAAATGTGAATCTGTAACATAATTGAAGATAAGAAATTCTCCGACTTGTAGGTCATTGTATAATGCAAATGCATTCCATCCTTGTTGAAAAGCAAGGGAGCCATCAACTCTAGATATCGTAACTTTCCACTGCCGCCCTCGTGAATCTTCAAGAACAGCTTTTTTATTGACCAATGCTGACACAGTAGGAGCAAACTTAGGAGGCAAGAACTGCAATGGGATGACTTGGTAAGCTTAGAAGGGACAATCTCTACCATCATAGTGCCAAAAGGAAGTAGCGGAAATTATATATTACTAAGTAATATATACTTATCAAACTCACAAGATAATGAAAAATTAGTTAAACCTTTTGCGTGAATCTCTCTACAGTATACATCACATTGTTTACATAATTCTAGAAAGAACGATACAAAGTAATTTTCGATGTTTAAAATAAGTACTTCCTACGGGAATGTTATCCCCAGATAAGAAGAGATACTGTTGAATTTGTTTATCAGTTTGATGCACATACTAAAAAAAGAGAGCTACAATCTACATAGAACATGGGAATAAAAATTAAATAGATTACAATTTAGTAGGGCAGGGGGAAGATGGAAAATTTATCATACCAAAACTTTAGAAAGCTGATCTCCGATCATGATTTTGAAAAAAGAGGCGACAACAGTTGAGGCTTTTTTCTTGTTCCCATGATCCTGCAAACAGTTCAGAGTACATTCTGCACAAGCTTCAAGCTTACTACCCATTACTTCTTTCGCTCTGTTGAATACTTTACCACTACAACAAGGAAAAAAGATAAATGAATACAGTATTCTAATGAGATAGTAATGTCATATAAAATAAGCTTTGTAGAAACATCATAAACTTCAAACTGATGTCAGCAGTTCTTCTGAGAGACCGCGCTAATATGATTTATGACCATGACTACACATGCAGCTTCGATCTAACAGGCACAAGTAACATAAATTAACTGCCATGGCAGAGCGCCAAACTAATGGGAACATATTGCACCAAATTACAAGTGAAAAAGAAATAAAGGTAACACCTTTCAAGTATGGCACAATTATGTAACAAGTTAACAACTACAATAACAAAAGTTCAACTACCGTTTTTTAGGGAAGCGTTGAACTACCTAACAGATGCTCTAACAATTACGGTAGCAGGAAACACTATGGAAGCACAATCAATTTCCAATTACTCTTGATACAAACAACGCCAACTAAACGAGTGACTAGACTTGTGAACTCTAATCCTAAAAAAAAAAATATTCGTGAGTACGTTTGTTCATCTGCAGTAGACAACTTCCTACGCTTCGAAAATCCGAAAAACATTATAAATGGTTTGAAGGGGTTGCCTCACTGTAACTAAGTGTGAACCCAACACATCATTCCATAATTTTACGAAAGGCCTGAACCCGAGCCATGTACAAACATGAGTTCCTCTTTAACCCCGAGGCACGCACAATGTGTGCCACCAAATCAAAAGCTAGTTATTGCCCACAAGCACCCGAAAATCGGACATAATGCGACATTCTTTTGCAGGAGTAACTTAAATTAAACAATGTACTTTCAAAGCTTCACGATCATGGCTTAAACAGGCACCCATGAGACCCGAACAAACAAACAATAAGCTTTCTTTCGCTGAAACAAGAGACCCTTTCACTACATAATCATGCTTCTAAAAGGAAAAGCTAAAAACCCTGTATTAATATACAAAAATTTAAAAAAAAAATTACAAGAACAAATTAAACAATTTACCATAAAATCTTCACGATCAAGGCTTAAACAAAAACCCATGAGTGCAAAAGGTGAAAAAAAGCAGCTGTCTTTCGCTGAAAGGTGAGAGCTTTTTCACTAAACATACATGATCCCCACATAAAAACTTAAATTAAAAAACCCTTTATTTTAATAAAAGGGCGACCCTAGGCTTCCTTTGCGAGAGTTGGACAAACGTCTATCGTATTCAGTCTTACTATTTCTTTACAAAAAGGCCGTTTTCAAGACTCGAAAAAACATAAATTCATGGAAAAATAATATTTACAAGAACAAAATAAGCTAAATTGCGAAGGAAGGCTTCCTACCAGTGAGTGAGAAGCTCTTAGGGGTGAGTTTTTGGGTTGAAAATCCTCTGAAAAAAACCTTTGTCTTTGAAGAGGAAGAGAGCTTTTTTGGCACTCAACAATCACCCCAGCTGAGTCGTACTACTCGTTGAACGGTGTCGCAGAAAAAGGGACCTTTTTAGTGATGGTCAAATCAGGATGCCCACGTGTACTGCTGATGGGGACACGTGTCATGTGGGCCCTTAATTTGCATGTTGGTACAAAACTCAACGGGATTGGGTTTTGTTGAGAAGTCATGAAACTGGCCCAGTCCAGAGAGAAAATGAGCATTAGTGGTGATATCCCGTCACACGGTCCAACTCAATTTCTTATTGTCGGCTTAAATGAATTAAAAAAAAAAATTAGGGAATAAAAATTAATAAGGAATGTGCATGTGCGGGAAGTAAAAATGAGTTGTGTAAATACACCACCCCAAAAACATAAGCTAAACTGAAAATTGTGGTAGTATCCTTAAATTTAGGGTTTAGGCTAGACCAATTATGAAGAAATCATATATTCATACAAGCAAGTCACTTAGTACTACGGTCTAATGGTATTCTTCTTCACTTGTAAGTGAGAGATCTTAGGTTCGATTTTTACTAAAAGCTAGTTTGAACCACATTATTATTATCTCATTGTGAAGCTAAACTCATCCTCCGGTCCAATAAATGATGAATCAGTAAAAAGTCTTGTGACAGCACCCTCATTGCTTTGCTCCTCATTTCTTCTATCCTAACCATCATGTTGCTTTAAAAGAACTTTGTAAGGTCTGCGGGAATCAGGAAGGTGATCAGGTTCGAATTGCTCCAACATCGCCCTTGGGTTGGGAGAACCGGGCAAAGTTCTTCATTACCTTTTTACAAGTTTTTTATTTTTAATCTTATTTCTATTTAAAAAAATATTTTTTTGAATGACAAGAAAGTCTCTAAAAATCCATAAGAATCTTTAATCAAAATCTTTAAGAATCCTTGAAAATTCATTTGAAAGTTGTAAGGATTCTAGAATCCTATCGAATTCATCACTTTGAAAAGTCTTTTGAAGTCCTTCTAAATCTCTCATTTGAGTACACCCCTACAAGTATTTGTTGGAATTAAATAAGTATTTGATAAATGCATTTCTCTCAAATGTAGTTAAAAGCATTTTTAATTGCAAAGCACTTTCGAGATCCATAAAAAATCCTAAGCAGACTCTTAGTACGATTTTCTAGTTCACCACATAGACTTTCAATTTTGTTATGAGTTTTTTTTAAAACGTGTCAATTCGTCCATAACCATCAACCTTATCATATTTTTGTTAATATTTTTTACTTGAATGAACAAAAATCACCTTTCAAATTGACCACGTAGACTTTCAATTTGGTTATGTGCTCTTTTTATAACATGTCAATTCGTCCATAACCATCAACCTTATCATATTTTTGTTAATATTTTGGACTTGAATAGACAAAAATAACCTTTCAAATTGACGAAGCAGATGTGTGACAAGAGAGGGCGAATTGGTGCGTTCACAGAATCACAAGGGTCAAATCAAAAGTGCAGGGGACGAATCATAGTAAGATGCTAAATTAAGGGGCCAATTGTTAAAAATCCCCAACAAAATTAAAATCGAGTTGTCCTGTAAGTTCTGCAACTCCTGTCCGCAATGTACCTTTCCCATTATTCTGAGCAAAATGAACGGTTCCCATTGGAAGCAGAGAAAGCAGAGAAAACCTACTCAGAACCACTCAACCATCAACCAAACCAAATTAAAAGCAGTCAAACCGCAAGTTTTAAGAAAGTCAACAACTTGCAAACTTAAAATTTAGTGGATAATCAAAACAAACAATCACCAAATCAAATTTAAAAATCACCAAGAGGAGGAAAAAAAGACCAAGTCCCTCTTCCTCTCTCTCTCTCTCTCTCTCTCTCTCTCTTTCTCTCTCTTATTATATTGTGTTAGATGAAAGATTAGGTTGTTTAGTTTTGGTCCCCACTGGCCTCTCACAGCTGCTTCCAGTCCCCAAAAGTCCAGTCTTTGGCAAAGACCCATGATTTTTCTTTGGGTTTTGTGTATAATTTGACCACCAAAATCTTGGGGTTTCTTCATTTTCTCTACTTTTTGATCATCTCTCTTCCAAATTTCCAATATTTTCTTCAAAGCTAGAAACTTTGAGTGGAAAGGATTGAGAGATGTTGGATTACTATGAGCAGCTTGCTTCCAGGCCTTTTTACCATGATTCTCTCAAGGTTGTTGAGTCAGATATTCAGCATGCCAACATGCTGTGAGTACAACATTACAAGTTCACAACCCACTTTTTTTTTTAAGAATTTTTTTTTTGGGTTGAATTTCCATATGAGTTTTGGTTTTGATTTTGATTTACTGTTTCTCTGTGTGTGTATGTGAGAGAGAGAGAGAGAGAGAGAGAGAGAGAGCTGTGTTTTCGTTTCAGCAAAAGTTTTGGTACTAATATCCATTTGGGTACGCATAGAATATCTAATGCCTATTGTTTCTGGTGCCATTGTTGTTTCATCTGAAATCGGATACATTGTCGTATTGAAACCCAGCTTGCAAACTTTAACCTAAATGTAAACAATAATCCATGCTTCTGAGAAAGTTTTCAATTTCTGTAATCTGTGCCTAATCTTTGGATATGCTGCTGGCTTTTTACTATTATTTTTCATCAGATTCTAGTTGCTGGTTAGAGTTGAAATAATGTTGGGGGTTGCCGAATGTGGACAAGGGTTTGCAGAATAAGTTTTAAGGGCACACCATCAGCTTTTGTCCTTGATTACTTTTTTTTTTTTAATTTGGATTGCTGACTCTTAGGATGTTTTTCACCGAGTTCATAGACCCATTTTTTATTTATTTTTATTTATTTTTTGGTGGTTGATCAAGTTAAGTGACTTTTGATGTTACTTGAATAAAAATGCAGGGCAGCTTCTATCCCCCGAAGCAAGGGTGGTACGGTTCTTCAAATGAAATTGGTTTACAATGACTTGGCACACATTATCCTGTTTTTGCTTCAATGGATTGATTGCTCCTCTTCGTGTTTACTTTCAAGTTACTTAAATCTTTTCCACGTAATTGTTTATAAGGTTGGTTTCTTCCCTGCCTGCGCATGTGTTTCTAAATTAAATTTACAGTTTAATCTTTTCCACAAATGGAATTCGAGTTCTTGAATGTTTCTGTGGTTGTTGGTTTCGTATTTCTTCAGGTACACTCGGATGGGAGATCAAATATCTCTTCATGTGGAAGGAAAGCGACCATCAGCGAATTCTACAGTACGTAAACTTCTACTCTTTTTTGTAGTTAGTTTAACATCTGTTTAAGAATGTGATTTGGACCTTATATAGAGAATGGATATTTGCACGTGTTTTACTGAAAACCTCAAAGTGAGTCCATCTGGTGCATAACTTAACTTTAGGATTTCGAAAATTAATGACTAATTCTTTAAATGAATCTCATTTGTCCTGCTGTAATTCCAATTTTAAGGACGCGTTTAATTCTGGTCTGCTTTTGAATTTCAAAACACGTTAAACTTCGTGTATGTTTGTGGTATTTAGCAGTGTTGTTTCTGCAATTCATCATTATTCATGTCTTCCCCAACCTAAAACTGCAGATGTTATATTACCGTCCCTTCAGCGTCTCCATGGTGATTCATTGGAGATGGATCTCACCCAAGAGGAATCTCTAGAGATGGCTGCTAGAAAAAGATACAATGATAAGATAAAGCTTTTGGATGTGGACTTGGAGAGAGAAGATGAATGTGGGATCTGCTTGGTACCTTGCACCAAAATGGTTTTGCCGAACTGCTGCCATGCCATGTGCATTAATTGCTACCGTGAATGGTACGAATATACGCAGTTCTTCCCTAATTTCCAAAAACATTTGTTCTTCCTTTTCTCACTTTAGTTTCACCCGGTGTTATGCTGTTTCGATAGCACTTTAGTCTCATCCGGTGTTATGCTGTTTCCATATGACGATGATGGGGTCGTCATTTATAAACCATTGTCACATCTTTGCATCTTTGTATATTACAGGAACACAAGATCAGAATCTTGCCCATTTTGCCGGGGAAGTATAAAAAGAGTAAACTCAGGGGACCTGTGGGTTCTGACCTGCGGTAGCGATGTGGTTGACACTCAAACCGTGTTGAAGGAAGATATGTTGCGGTTCTACCTTTTTATCAATAGATTACCCAAAGATCTCCCGGACGCTCTGTTCTTAATGTACTACGAGTACTTAATTTGATCAAACGTGCTATAAAAATGGTGTATAGAGGCAATTGCCAACCATCACATGTACAGAGGCGAGGTTTTCACGTCGAAATTTCTTTTCCACTTCCGGCTGTGCAAATAATGTACGTGCTTTGTGTAAGAGACAGAAATATATATATCAGAAGAGTCACCTCTTTTCTCATTTTGATTTTCTGATGGAAGGCAATCTGATTCGACGAAATCTGGTCTGAATTTGTGAACTGATTTGAAAAAAGGCCACCTTTTGCACGAGTTTATAAACAGTAAATAGTACAAGAAGTAAAATTTTCAGAATTATTCAGACTTAGATGTAATCTCAAACATAATTTCATCATAGAAATGTCTACTCTGTTGAGATCACGGCAACACAGAAACGTATTAAAAGATGGATCACATCATCCGAAGGCAGGCAGTTCATCCATTACGCAGTTTCCTGTCCAACAAGTAACTGAAAGGAGGGTGAGTGGCATTGCCTTTTAGGAACGTGTCAGAAAGCACCTTGTACATAGCTTCAGTGAGATGAACTCCATCCCAATTTATGTACTGAGACGGGCTTTTACAGACGGTGGCAGAAGGCGTGCCGCATGTGGCAGACACGTCAAAGTTGTAGGGGTCACCGCTCCCGCAGCAGGCCTTGAATCTCTCCTTGAAACCGTACTGGCTCGGACTCTTCATTACTGTGAAGTATGCATTCCAGTAGTCAGCATAGGCTATGACAGCATGGGGAAACTGTGTCCGGAGTTCGTGCAACTTTGCTTGGAGCACAAGGTTGTGGCTGTAGGTTTGGTTGTTGACGCTCTTGACACATCCGATGCGGTCTCTGTCGTCTTCCTGCGCCAACGACATTGCCAACGGCAAGCACCCTGAAAGTGGCAGACCTTGGACGACAACGTATTTCGCACCCTTCTTTAACAATGCCTGCAAACCAATGTTTTTTTTATTTATTATTATTTATTTATTTATATTAGAATTAAGCTCTCTAGCTTTAGAATTCAGAGTTATGTTCTAAATAAAAGGGACCAAATTCGATGCAAATGAAAAAATAAGGTAAAAAAAAAAAAAGTTTTTAGCGCTTGTAGTTTTCATCTTTTCATAAAATTTCACTTTCGTTCATGTATATTCAACTACATCGAATTCTTGTAATTTGCAAACAGTCCAAATTTGTTGTCGTTGGAATTGAACATAGAGGACGAAAGTGGAACTTTGTAAAAAGTATGGGGGTTGAAAATGTGATTTAGCCAAAAGAAAACGAGACTCAAAATAGGACTTTAATACTCATAAGCCATAACCAGCACACCTAGAAGATTTAATGATATGTAAATTATGCTTTTTGACTTTAGGATATGTTAGAAAAATAATAAAGAAAATTAATAAAAAGGACTTGAAAACTTTGAGTTTTAATGATAAGGACAAAATAAAGAGTAAAGTGAATAGTACTAGGATTGATTTTTTAATGTAAAAATATGTTTTTTTGTTAAAGTAAACAGTACTGTGAGCTTTTCGTTAAAACTTCCAAAATAATATACCTGAAACCACATCATATAGCATATGAAAACATAATTAATAAAAGCCTCGGTCCAATTTAGTCAAACTCTACCATTTTAGTCAAACTTTAGCTAGGTGTAGCTTGGCAAACGGATTGTGTTTGTCATGTTCGTGTTATGTTCATTATCCTAGTGAGTCATGTTGTGTTAAACTCGTTATCTTAACAGATAACCTGATAATAACTCGAATCGTTAATAAGTCGTGTCAAGCTAATGGTCATGCAAAAAATTGTCATGCATAATGTATAGATCTGGCAAGCGATATCTTATCGGGTTCTTAATGGAGAACCTGATAAAAACCCGACTCTCTAACGGATTCTTAATGGGTTGACTCGAAACTTGTTATTTTCGTGTCATTTTATGCCAGGTTTATGGGTCGCGTAAAGAATTGTCAAACCTAGCTATGTGATAAAAAAAAAAAAAAAAAAAAGGAAAATTAATTTTCATGCACTACTTATTACGTTTCTTCTTCTGCACGCTCATATTCATTTCATTCCTTAATTCTGAACTCTTCAATCCAAAAGCCAAAAATAAAAATGGACGTTTAATGGGAGAAGATGGTTCGTGAAAATCACTTTCTAAAATTAAATTAAAAACATATAATTTTCAGACCATTTTATTTTGCCCATAAAAATCAACAAAATTAAAAATAGAGAAATTCTTATATTGCATTGATTAAAACCATATTTCTTTTTACTTTTTGATCAAGGTCCTTAGCTTTTAATGAATATCATTATTTCAGTTATAAATTATTTACATCTTGACACACCCCAACCGAGATCAGGGCATGCTGGCCGTCACGTGGAACCCGGGCCCGATCCACCACCGTAGCACGATATTGTCCGCTTTGGGCCCCGACCACGCCCTCACGGTTTTGTTTCTGGGAACTCACACGAGAACTCCCCGATGGGTCACGAACTCACACGAGAACTCCCAGGATGGGTGACCCATCGGGAAGTTCTCGTGTGAGTTCCCATAAACAAAACCGTGAGGGCGTGGTCGGGGCCCAAAGCGGACAATATCGTGCTACGGTGGTGGATCGGGCCCGGGTTGTGGTGGGGGCCCGGGCCGGGATGTGACACATCTCAACATAATTGAATTTTATTTTTCATATGTATTCATTTAGTGTTAGAAATGTTACATTTGGTGTATTTATATTTATCGTTAAACTTTGTATTATATATTTCTATTTTTAGTTTGTACCATTTTTAATTTGCAGCCTTTTTATTTAATTTGTACCAATTTTCTTTTAGTTTGTACCCATATATTAATTTCATTTTGTGCCCATATTTTTAAAATTTTTATTTATACTCATAATTGATTTATAATGTACCCATTTATCTTTATAAATGTACCACTTTGTTATATGTAACATATACCAATTATTTTTTTGTAAATGTACCATTTTTTATGTAAAAAGTATTTATTTTTTAATGTAAAATTTATTTATTTTTTATTTATAATGTATATATATTCTATAATAAAATGTATCCATTTTTTAATTTTTTTGAACACTATGGGTACATTCATTTGATATTTATTATTTCAAAGTTATATTGTTACATGTTTTTATCTATTTATTCAATCAAATTTTTTTTAGTTTTTTTTTTTGTTCATATAATATGAGATTTTAAATCCCATAATATGTCAAATAATTAATATCAAACATGTGAAAATACATATCAATAGCAATAATAAAGTGTAAAAAGTAAATGAACTTTGATAAAAAATTGAATACCATTAAGATTTTAATAAGAAAATATTAGTAACTCGGGATCCGATTTAAAATCATCCACTAAAAATGGTACCTGGAGAAAACTAGTAACTCTACTGACCCCAAGCTTCTGAATTGTATCACCAGTCACATCAGATCCAAGTGTATAAGCATAATCATTGACCCCAATTTCTCCAACCCAAAAAAGTGCATCATCAAATTTGCAACTTGGTCCTCCAACTTTGCAACCTTTACTTTCCAATAACTTGTTGAACCAAAGCAGCTGAGTCTGGATAGACTGAGGAGTAATGTCAAGGCTGAGGTTGTTCTTCACAAAGAACTCGTGCTCTATGGCGGTGGAGCCGGCGACGGCGAAGTTAACTCCGTGAGTTGAGTCTGCTGTGGCATTGCTCGAAACGGCGCGGTAGGGTTGCAAGTAGGGCAAGGAGAGTGACTCGGCGACGAAATCAATGACTAGGCGTCCGTCGGAGTAGCGGTTTGTGGGGCGATGAAAGTAGGTGATGCCGTAGGGAGCGTTTGAGACGTGGCCGAAGCCGCTAGGGCCTGAGATGGACCTTGTGTTGCCTGTGTCTGTGAATGAGTCACCAAAGGCGTAGATTTTCTTGAAGGGCAAGGTAGGGTTTTGTTTTGTTGCGTCCGTGGAGGCGGAGGCGGAGATAGAGGAGGAGAGGAGGGAGGAGATAAAGATGGTGAGGGTAACGAGGGTAATTTGCCCAGATGTGGGGAATGAAGAAGAAGAGGAAGCCATGTCTAAAGCTCTGTCACTACCAGTTAGCAACCTTTTTACATTGCATGTATAGTTTGCCCTTATATACTTTTTATCTTGTTCAAAAAGGGTAGATATGTCTTTTTACGTCGAGCAGTCTTTTTTTTTTTTTTTTTTTTTTTTTTCCCCCTTTCCTTCTTAAAGTACAGTATTGGAAACAAATTAAAGACAAGCTTGAGGAAATTATTGTTATATGCTACTAGTAGCAACATGATATAATTGATTGATTCATTGATTTGGAAGTAAAAGCAAGATTGTAAAACAATTAGAATTGTAAAACGACATGAAGTTAGGCAAATGTTGGAACTTAGAATCTCTTGCAATCTTTTTCTCCAACATTTATGCACTTCATTGTCGGAATGAAAATGGGAGAAAGAAAATTAAGGGATCCACGAATATTGGCAAAACAAGCGTTAATCTAGGAAAACTATTGATTTACGTAATTGGAAGTATAAGATTGTTCTGCTATAACGAAATGCAAATAAGATTGTTTTGCTATGTCAGTTCCTTGTAGCTCGTTGGTTTTGTGATGCAATTAAAAATCAACATAAGTTATTAGTTCAATTGACACTCGAATAGATCATCGTATTATAATGACAAGAAAATGTCAAATAGTCAAAGTAAAAACTAGAAAGTTACTCTTTTAAGGTCCCATTTGGTGTAATAGATGATATTGGATTTTCGAGATGTGATTGGATTGGTATGGACACATAAGATAGGACTTGTAACCTGTATATAAGGATATATTAGATAACTCATTCAATTGTGGATTCATAACTCTTCTTGTCTAGTCATATCCATCGTATATTTTAAAATAATAAATTATAAACTAGATTCAAATCTATTTTAATTGATCACAATCTATCCCAACCGACCCACTGAACATATCCTAAAGGCTGTGGTGACTCAAGTGGGAGTTATAAATTTGGATCTAAAAAGATCTTTGAAGTACTTGAATGAAAAATAGATGGGTCTTAAATGATCATCTGTCACTCGCCACTCCCTCCCAAGTTCCCAACTGATTTCCTGCTGATTCTTTAGAAAATTGAAAAGAAAAAGGAATTAATTTAGATTTGAAAGTTTGCGGCTTGGGCGGCGCTTTGATGTGCGTCCTTAAATTTTGCACCCACCGCTGTGAGCGTACAGATATAAACCAAATCTTGCAGAATGCCATTTAATTTGGTCTCTTTTGCAGATGGCTGTGTTAAATGATGTGTATACGCGTCATTCACGACTATGGTCTAATAGTATATTTTTTTACTTGTAAGTTAGAGATTTTAGATTCAAATCTCGTGGATGGTAAATTCAACACCAAATTAAATTGTTCATTGTGTGGCTTAATCGAACTCTCCCTCTCTGAATGTAAATATATCTTGTACTAAAAAGAAAATGATGTGTACACGTATGCACGGATGCAACCAACGCCACAAGAATATGTCACTGTTGGACTCATGCGAGTCTTCTTTTGTTTATGTGAAAACTAAATACGTATGCTCGCAACTGCTTTTCGCCTATGTAAGGCAGCATATCTATAAATCATATAGTCTGTTTATGTCTGTTCGCCTGCTGTATTTTCTTACTCATCATATATCTAAAAGATAAATAATTATGTCAGTTCATTTGTATTTTCTCACTCATCGTATAACTAAAAGATAGACAATAAACCAATAAAATATGAGTGAAAAAGTAGGTCAGTGGGCATAGGATCACACATTTCTTATTAGAAGGTAGAAATCCAAAGCGCACTTGGAAGTTCTTCACTTGCTTATTTAGTAAGTACTTATAAAATTTTCAATCAAACACTATTAATAGAGCTTTTGATTGTTCATAAAGCGCTTTTGACAATTTCAAAAGCAATCCGAAACAATTAAGTATTTTTGTTAGCAGTCAATAAATGTAAACAACAGATGTGGTCCAACTATGAAATCCACACTCATGAAGGACTAATAGTCACTGACGCGGACAAACAGTACCTTCACACAAGATCAATCTCATGTCTACATCACTCACTAGAACCAATTGCGGATAATATAAGACTCAAAGGGACATTATTCAAGCATAAATCACAATCCAGAACCAATTGCATTGGGACATGGATAACTTCTTCTGAGATTAGAACCAAATGATGAGCCGAATCCAATTCAACTCCTATAAATTCTAGATGTATAATTAGCCTGGTTCACAAACCAAATCACAAAATGCACCTAAGACAAGATCAAAGAACCTGCAACGACAATTCTAGAATGTTAAGGATGCCAAACCAGATTCTGTCATCGGGCCTCAAGTCAAATTCTGTCGTCGAATCTCAACATGGCAGCTTTACGATTATACTGATTGCTGAATGATATTACCACTCTGTTGAACTCGTGACTCGAAAAAGAGCCTTATGGTGGAATAAATCACAGAAGGTTCTGCCATTGCTCCATTCCCATAATCTCCACAAGCCAGCCTCTTCGTCACAGGTGGGATGAGTGAAACTCCAAGTTCATCAATCGACATGATATGTTGCTCCGTGAAGGGATTCTTCCACATCAAAGTGTTCATGGCTGGTGCAACAAAGAAAGGCTTGCTGTAGTCCCATGCTCGTACAATGCACGTCAGTAGATTGTCACACAATCCCCCAGCAATCTACAAGAACAACATGGGACATTAGTTCCATCTCTCATTCTTCCAACGAAACACAAACAGAAGCAATAAAAAATAATAGTTTGAGTGACATGCTGATGTGACGCGGTTTCTAGTAAAACAAATTCTCACCCATCTCATCTCATACCAAAAACAACTTTATAAAGTCACAATATTTCCAGACTGCGAATATTACCTTGCCTAGTGTGTTTGCTGACAACGGGGCGATAACCAAGATATCAGCCCAACTGCGGAGCTCAATGTGAAGCACACTATCACCAACTTTGTTCCAGGTGGACCATTCATCCTCTTCAGTGTACAGGATTAAATCCTTGGGAAGTGATGCCCTATCAATGAAATGCAAAGATGCTCTTGTGGCAACTGCTTTTACTTCTGCCCATTCCGAAAAACCATGGCATAGGTTGCCAAACCTTATGGCAGCTACACTTCCGCTAGCAGCAAGTAGAATCCGAGGCCTCCTTGGGGCAGGATTGGCTTGTTGCTCAATTTCTGGACTCGCAGGTTCAGAGCTCGTCATACCCTATTCAAAAGATATCAACGAGTTCATAAACATCCTTGATTTCCGATTGATCAAAACAATTTAAAACAAGAAAAACTGGGAAGGTGCCTCAATTTCTTTGAAAAATAGAAGTGACGAATCTGTAATGAATTCAAACCCCTGATCTACATACCCAAAGTACTAAAAGAAAAGGCAGCCATGACGGAAAACACCAAAAGATTTACTGCACCATAAACTTCCTCAAGAAAAACATATTCATTTATGTTCTTTACATGATCTTTAATCCCCTTGAGTTCATTGAAGGCCAATTCAACAAAACACCAAAAGATTTTAAATTTCAATCTCCACAAGACAGCTTCTTAATTACTCCAATACAAGAAATAATTCAATGGGGTGACCAAGAACAGCTTTTTTCCCAGAAAAATATCAATCCAAATGAATACACAAAGCATACAAGAAGTGCCTTCATAGGTTACACCAACACAAAGCACTCAGTCTGAAAGAACAAAACTGGACTGTTTCACATCCACCCATTCAAGAAAGTGGCAATCTGAGATAAGCAATGCAAGAAACCTATAGAAATCGCTAGTTCGACAAATCCACAACATGGCAATCAACAAATACGAACATTTTCAAAAAAAAAAAAAAAAAAAAAGCTTGTGAGAAAATCGTAAGATGTCAACAGAAGAATTAAGGCTCCAAAACATAACGAACATACCCAAAAGTGTCCTCCGGACTGACGAAGGTGATCATTCATGATCTCAAATCGTGATCAAAGATGATCTTGAATGATCGCAACAAAAATAATAACAAATGGGATTTCTTGCTGCAGGGAAAGCCTCTGAAAAAACTTAAATATAACTTCCTTTTCTTTCTCAGAGACTTAAAACCAAACACCTTTGCTGCATTTATAAGAGAATGCTCTCTCCCTTTTCCCGCCCAAACCCAGTAACGAACTAACTAACAGCTGCAAACCCACACTCCTAACTAACTTTGCTGACTTTGCCAGTTCAATAAAACAGTAAAAATGAAAATTTTCCAAAAGTTTCATAACAATATGCGAGGGCGAGCCTTGGCGACGGAAAGATTGCTCGTTCGTGACCAAAATGTCACGGGTTTGAGTTGTAAAAAAACCTATTTGCAAAAGAAAGGTAAAGTTGCATACGATAGACGTTACTCCCTGAAGTTGCGTACGATAGACGTTCTTTTCTGACCTTGCAAGGCGGAGAGCCTTGTTGGCTTGAGTTCAGACTCTTTTTCTCAAAGTATATTAAAGGCAGAGCATTCTCCATTGTACCGAGGATCGATTCCCAACAATAATGATGAAAAATACAGCTACAAAAGGAAAAATATTTTCCCTAATTGTCTACTCAGACAAACAGATTAAACAATAAACAAAATTAGCATCAATTAAAGTGTAATTGGAATTTAATCGCGTGTGATTTAGTACTAAAACGAAATACTCCATCAATTGAGCGAGAAATTGTTACTGACTTGGACCGGTCAGTTCCCTCTGGGCGTGGTTTGAGGCGGTTTAGGGTTTTTCAATCGATGGGCCAAAGCGGAATGCGAGCAGAAGAAACGGAATCAGAATTTATTTCCCCAGTGATTCCGGCGTTGACTAAATTTAGGTGGGGCCCGCCCGGCATCAGTAATCAGAATCTCAGATCCCTGATTTGCCAGGAGTCCAAACCGCTAGACAGAGGGGAGGGTATTTGGACTCCGGAGGAACGGCTGCATCCGGACTCAGAATTTTCGGTCCAAAGTACCCTTGTACTTTTAATGGATCCTGAAAAGCCATTGAACCTTTAACCTCTTCTTCCTGCCTCCCTCTACCCAACCATCGCCCACCCTAACTCGGCGGAGACCACCGAACCCGCCTTCCACGAGAGGGAGATTTTTTTTTTTTTTTTTTTCTGTTGGTATGTGTGGTTGATATTGGGGAACAAAGGGCACTGGATTTTTTACAATTTTAAAAAATCTTTTACTTTATTAGCTATAGTTTGAAAATGCGTTTAAAATAAACATTTTTAGATAATATTTTTCTAGTTTCTAAAGTAAAAGTGTTTTCTGTAATAAGCGCTAGTTATGCGATTTTTATAAGAAGTATTTCAAGTTCTTTTTCTAGAATTCGCTTGCGTTTTTACTAAAAATTAGTTCCAAAACCTTTTACATTAAAAGTGGTTTCAATAATTTTAAAAAACACTTCTAAACGAATTAGTATGATGAAAAAATTTTAGCTACCCACATAAACAAAATTGAAAGAGAAAATGGGTGGCCTTCGGATCCTATGACCAACTAAAGATTCAATAAACTGAAACTTAATTTGCAAAGTAGCTACATACATGTCCTCATTTGGTTTGTGGATTGATCCCAGTGCTGCCTACCTAAGAAATTGGGCACGTCATCACCAGCCTCCAACACGGGGGGACGTGCCTCCTGGGGATGGTCAAGTTTATTGGTGGGTCGTGACATTCATCTCCGGCGTGCCCACTGGTAAATTATGGATGGGGCTATAATGTTAGTGGTTGGCAAGACAGATGGCTTCCTTCTCTCCCTCTCGGGCACCCTATTCCTCAAGGTAATGTGCAGGTGTCTAGGAACTTGTGTGTCGGGGACTTGGGATATTGATTTTCGTAAGACTGCTGTGGCCGCACATGAGGAATGGGGTCTATACCGTGAGATCGGGCTATTATTGAGTGCATTCTCATGCGGTGCCAGTAGTGACTAGGGTTACGTCCTCTTCGTATATGATTCCCTCTAAAGTTTGGCAAGTTATTTGGAAGGTGAGGACACCCCCGAAAATCCGCTGCTTTCTTGGAGGTTCTAGTAAACCTGTGGGTATCTCTCTGCCTCGGCAGGCTTCCCCTTTGGGTTTGGTTCGTTGGTCTCCGTCCTGCCCTATGTTTACCAAGCTAAACGTTAATGCGAGCTGGGATGTTATTATGACATATGGCTGTGTGGGAATTGTTGCCAGATGCGCTGAGGAAAGGTTTGTAGGGGCGAGGAAGCTGATGATTTATGCTCCGTGTATTGTTGTGGTTGAGGCTCTTGCCATTTTGTTTGGGTGTGAGTTTGCCTGTTCTTTGGGCTTGCACATAATTATTGTTGAATCCGACTCAAAAAAAGAATATATCTGCTTTGGTTAATGATTTATCCTCTGGCAGCTAGGAGGCTTATCCTACGTTGACTAGAATCTTAAGGCTTCAGGATACCTTTCGGATGTGCCGTTGGTCTTGGGTTCTGAGATCGGCCAATACGGCGGTAGACCGTTTGGCGTCAAGAAGTAACACGAAGATATGCGATTCTACTTGGGTTAACCATCCCCCATCTTCGTTGGTGCATATTTTGAATAAGGATGGCCTCCTGTGTCCTCCGTAATTGTTTTTGGGTAATGTAGGGGGTGACGCTTTGCGCTTGGTGCCGCATCTTTAGCCTTTGTTCCCCTCTTCATTGCTTTCTGTTTGTTTTCTTTGGTTGTTGCCTTCTGGTAGGTCTCCCTGTGTTTTTGGCTATGGCTCTGGTTATGAATATTTCCAGTTTCCAAAAAAAAAAAAAAAAAAAAAAAAGAGAGAAAAAGAAAAAGGAAATTAGGCACGTCATCTCCTTCACCTCTCATCCTAACCATTGACATTGAGTTTCAGTTGAAGTTCAGGTTTTTTAAATCCAATTTTAGTTGAACTCTAATTAACTACTAAGGAAGACTAAGGAAAGTTTAGTTGAATTCAAATTTTACTCCCCTTATTTAACGGAAGACTAAGTTTGAGATTGAATGCGAATTACAAATGGAGGCTCACCACGGAAGTTTAACTATCAATTTTTTTATTTGTTTTTTTTTATTTTTTTTATCATGAGAGTACGTTAAAGATATTGTATAATTATAGAAATTGCGCAAACAAATTTGACCCTTGTAAATTGAAGTCCAATGCTCGACAAAGGGATATAATTATTATTACAAGCGATATTATCACTTTGCAATAGAATTAAAGTGAGGGACAGAATTTAAATCCAAGGCACATGGGATGAAGAGAAAAATAATCAACCACTTGCAATTTTTTTTTTACGATGCATTAATTTTTAATACGAATGAGAATAAATACTTTTACACCATAGTAGTAGTGGCAAAAATATGCATTCTATAGGGGTAAATTTGTCCTCATAAAATTATGTGAGAATGAATTATCACCTCGGAAGTGTTCGTGTAATTGCTCAAATTGAGGAGATTTAGCAATGATCATAATAATTTTCATGAGACAATAGTAAAATTAACCCTATTCTAAACTAATAATTGAGTTATGGTTGATTTGGTATTGCTGTACTTTGAAAAAAAACTACTTCGGCTGTACTGTAAGAATAATCAGCTGTGAAATAAAGCAATAGAGTGTTTGGTAAACTTTTTTGTAAAAGCGCTTTTGAAAAAAACAAAAAAAATAGTATTATAGTGTTTGGTAAACTTTTATGTAAAATAGATGTGAAAAAAGTCGATTTTTCAAAGCTGAGTTTTGTAGCTTCTTGTTTTTGGCTTTTTTTCACCCAAAACTGTGAAAAAAAGCTGAAGCTGAATGTCTACCAAACACAAAAACAACTCCCAGCTTTTTTTTATACTAGCTTTTTTCAGAATCACCTCAGTACTAAACCAGACCTTATTCTTGTCACTCTTGTCCTTTCATTTGGGCTCGAACCTTAGGACTAAAAGTACGCTATCACCTCATATAGTAACAGAGCTGTGTAGAAAGAAAAATTAGCGTGTCACTAATGCATGTACCTCTTCATCTTAAAAAATTTAATAAGAGAATGATAAGATCTAATTCCCTCGAGAGCTTTTTTATATTTATTTTTTCTTTTATCAATTCTCTCAAGAGCTTGTTGAAATTGCTTTAAAATAAATGAAAGCGGTTTTAGAAAAAATGTTTTTGGGCTCCAAAAGTATTTAAAATTAGGGGTGGTTTGATATGGGATCCCAAACTGAAAATTTTTGGGATGAGGAATTGAACACTAATCCCGAACTGAAATTTCGATATTCTCAATTTTCGGAATATTTTCGGTATTTCTGTATTTCCAATTCAATTTTAACTGTATCTAAAAATTGATTAAGAAGATGATGGCACCATATTAGCTAAAGCCTGTTCAGTGACATACTCGAAGCATTTCTAACCTCATTATAGTCGTATCGGTCAAACAGAACTAAGGTTAACTCAAAGATTGCAACACTTGCAAAGGCAAAACAGTCCAAGACCACTTTCTTCCTTTGCTTCCTTTGTTTAAAACAAACTTGATAAATCCTTTACTCCCTTCGAACAACCCCAATATGTTCATAACATCATTACCAAAACTATCGAAGTATAAACACACAATTATTATTATTCTTTTTTTTTTTGAAACAAGGACAATAATTATCATACTTAACCAAAATAAATGTATATATATTTGGTTTGCTTTGGGATTCTCGAACCATTGAACATGTAATTCCGATTCTCATACCAAAAGGTTTGGAATTGGTTCGATATGGATCCCAAAAATTTTGGCCTTATCGGTTTGGAAATTTTTCGGTATGGGATAGGGATCCTTTTGGTTTGGTTTGGGATTTTCGGAAAAAATTTCCAGCCCTATTGAAAATGCATCTTGCAAGAAGCACCGATTACGTGCTTCTTGTATGAAATAATAAAGTGCCATTTCAAGTCCCATTTGCATTTTTACTTAGAATTTATTCAAAAAATAATTTTACAAAAAATACTTTCAACCATTATAAAAACATTTCCAAACAAGGCTTAATCCTCAATTTTCAACTTTTGGTACTACTTTTTCTTTATATTTACACATCTTCAAGCAACTTGTTTATTTCTCATCTTATTTATTTATTTTATTGAATTTATTTTCTTCTTGTTAAAATTTTGTATCTTATTTGGGCTCGACTATAAATCCCATCTAGTAAACACGCGGTCCACCTCTTCGACAACTCGCGGAAAAAAAGCTCGACTTTTCGTTACGCGCTTCGCAGACGCTTTCGTGCCTTAGCGGTTTAAATCTAAGAGGGCATTTAGGTAATTTAAAGTCCATCTTCCCCATCTCCCCTTTTCTCTCTTCGCACTTTCCCTCGCATCACCTTTCCTTCCTCGTTAAACCTTTCAAGCAACCAGATCCAAACCCCCCCTTCCCCGTTTCAAAAATCGTCAACCCATCCGACTCGACTCAGTCTCCCCGAGTCGGACCGCTCAACTCGGACCTAGTCAACATCTAGAGAGCGCGCAGCCGATTTGCATTGATATCTGCAAGCTCCAATTCCATTTGAGCCGGGCTCGCATGCCATGGCTAGGGTTTACGACAATTGGAAGCGGCTGGTGCGGGCCACGCTAAAGCGGGAGCAGCTCAGGAGCTCCGGCCAGGGCCATGAGAGGGTTCCTAGTGGAATCGCCGGCGCCGTCCCGCCGTCGCTCGGGAAGACCACCAATATCGATGCGATCTTACAAGCTGCCGACGCTATTCAAGCTGAGGACCCCAACGTCTCCAGAATTTGTAAGCCTCTTTCTCTTATTTTCTTGAACATTTTAAATTAATGCTGATTTTTTCAGTGCTCAATTCGATATTTGGTGCCGTTGTAATTGTTACTATTTCTGTATGTACGTATAATTTCGTTTATGATTTAGTTTTAAGCGAGCTAAGTTTAGCTAATCTTGGTATCGAACTTAGTATTTGCGTATAAGGATTGGAATTCAACAATATGCTGCTGGTTTTAGTAGCATTTGCTTTGATGTGAAGATGTTTCCAATGTGCTATCGAATCGAAGTGGTTTACAGACTATCTTTTGTTTCCGAGCTGGAATATATGGTCTGGTGGTGTTATGATCCTTGTATTTTGTTGGAGTATTTATGTAGTCACGAGAGTTGTATTGTTTGGATGTTAGTGTGTGAGCAGGCATATAGTATGGCGCAAAATCTGGATCCGAAAAGTGATGGCAGAGGCGTTCTTCAGTTTAAGACTGGATTGATGTCTGTAATCAAGGTATCACTTAAGCTATAATCGTGACTGGTAATTTTTTGAATGGCTGATACTAGTGTAAGTCTGCTGTATTTTCTTTTCATTTCTTACGGTTAAAATTCTAAGATATGAGTATTTGAAATTTTCTTTCAGCAAAAACTTGCAAAAAAAGATGGGGGTCAAATAGATCGGAATCGTGATATTGAGCACCTCTGGGATTTTTACCAGCGATACAAGCGACGACATAGAGTCGATGATATCCAGAAACAGGAACAAAGATGGCGTGAATCTGGAACTTTTAGTGCTGACTTTGGCGAGTATGGCCTCCGTTTTTTGCTTTAGTTGGATACGTTTTTTTTTTAACCGAAAAAATTGTTGGGTTTTCTGTCCAAATTTTTGCGTGTTTGTGTTCTACATTAATGAGCTGCAGCATTCTTACGGAGACTAGAATACGCATATTGAAACTCATGAATGTAAACCACTTTGGGCGTTATGTGCTGGAATGCATAACAGAACTAGGTTTCTGCTCCATGTGTCAAAGCTGTAATTTAATAAGTTCATAATTATTAATAAGGGGGAAAATGAGATTATTTTTTCTTTTCTTAACATATCAGTTCTTAAGGAAAATTCCTCCAAAATAGTTTATATTCTGTGAGTGGATATACTGCTGCGTTATGGCATGAAGTTTTGTTTGTTATTTTTCTTTTAAATCCAAAGAATTGGTTTTCTTTTCCACTTCTTCAAACATATTGAAAATGGATAGAGCTTTCCCTTCCTCCTTTATGGTATGATTTGTTTAAATATGTTGTTTGTTTATTCTTTTTTGTCTCGTATTGGAGCTCAGTTATTTAGAAATGAAAAAGACAATTGCTACCTTGAGAGCTTTAGTTGAGGTGATGGAGGCACTTAGCAAAGATGCCGATCCTAATGGAGTTGGAAGACTTATTACAGAGGAGGTATTTGTCATTTCATTTTCTTGTTCTTGCCTCTTAATTCCTTTGCATTTAGCAAATTTCACCTTATATTGACTTATTTGTGTTGGTTTGGGTGATCAACGATAATGATGAAAAAAAACAAGGCATTATTTACAAATTTCTGTTGCCAATTATTTTCGCCATTGTTGTTTTTGCTTCAATATATGTGATTTTTTTGATCTGCGGGTTTCCAGTTGCGAAAAGTTAAAAACACCGGTGCAACATTATCTGGGGAGCTTACAGCCTACAACATTGTCCCTCTAGAAGCACCATCATTGACCAATGCAATTGGAGTTTTCCCAGAAGTAAGTTTGACCTGAATTATCTATGTCTTGCCATCTGCCTTCATGCCCTTCAAGAGTTCCATTACATTCACCGTATTTTTTCTCTCATATCATTGAAGTTACCCCTGAAATGTTTGGTTGTCTCACCAGGTTAGAGGTGCAATATCTGCACTTAGGTATACTGAGGAATTCCCCAGACTTCCTGCTGATTTTGAGATATCTGGACAACGAGCTGCGGACATGTTTGATCTTCTGGAATGTGTGTTTGGTTTTCAGGTTTGGGTTTTCTTATATTTTCCCTAAGCTTAATTTTATTTGTGGTATGGTATCTTCCTAAAATATGCATATGTTTTCAATTACAATTGCTGTTCTTATGCATCCCCTATGTGATAACTATTCTAGTTAAATTTTTCAGAAAGACAATGTAAGGAACCAGAGAGAGAATGTTGTTCTAACAATTGCAAATGCACAATCTCGGCTTGGTATACCCGGTTTGGCTGATCCAGTGAGTGTTTCGGATGATCTAACTCATTATCCTTCTTGTTCTCATGTGGATGAACTTGTCATCAATTATTATACCTATTACATTCCTATTTGCTTATCTAAATTTTCATGTGAATTCATTTCTGCATTTAAGGCCTTACTAGCCGCCTCTATATGGCTTGTGAAGCAGATAGTTCCAAAAATTAAATTTGAAGCATCGTCAGTTTCTGAAGTATGTGATCCTATATCCTAGGTATTTTATATGCTTGTCTATATTTATAAAATTTAAGTTGTGATTTCAAGAAATTTTAAAATATAAGATTTGAAAGATATATTTACATGAGAAACTTATGTCACCTCATGTGGTTGATATTTGTTTTTGTTAAACGAAACAACCTGTTTGTAAGCGGGGCTAAGACTGTATACACCTGATCCTACCTAGACTAAGATCACCCAATGGCAGGAGCCTTGTATGCTACCCTGCTTTTTATTTGAGTCTATGGTTTCTTCTTTGCAACTTGGAGAGCTCAGGTTTGAAGTGGGAAAGAGCCTCACTATGATGGGGTAAGACTGTGTTCACCTGATCCTCTCTAGACTCTGCAATGGTAGGGTCTTGTGTGTTTTACTGTTTTGGACTTCCCTTTTTACTTGAGTTACTAATGCTCACATTCGTCTTATAAGATGTATGTCATTTTGAGATTCATTTTCCTTTAGAGGTGTAATAATTAAATTGCTTATAATTGCTTCTTGGCATGGTCATGTTTCGTTTTATGTTCTATGAGACCTATGGGCATGGAAATAGTCTTCTAGATGTGAAGTTTATTGATATATTTATGTCTTGGTGTGTACAGAAAATAGACGAGAAAGCAATAAATGAGGTATTTCTGAAAGTTCTGGATAATTATATAAAATGGTGCAGATACCTGCGGATACGCCTTGCATGGAATAGGTAGTCTCAACTCTAATGCTTTCTTTAATACTTAATTCTTATTTTAACAGCCCTTTAAAAATTTCTTATGTACACTGCTAAGTGCATATATATTCTTTCACAGTTTACAAGCAATTGATCGGGACAGGAAACTTTTTCTGGTTTCCTTGTACTTTCTGATATGGGGTGAAGCTGCAAATGTCCGCTTTCTTCCTGAATGTATTTGCTACATATTTCACCATGTAAGCCTCAAAGCATTGTGCAGTTTGCAGATCACTCTTCTCAGTTTATCTAGATAACCTTCACTTATTTGTTTATTTATTTTAAAAAATTGTTGGTTTTTTATTAATTTTTAATGTTTTAGTTGTGTTATGGAGATTGAGTTGTGCAAACTTTTAATCTTGGTTTCTATACTGTACGACTGTTTGATATCTGTGAACATAAATTTCTTCGCACTTCTCACATTCTTCGAATCTGTCTGCTACTTTAAAAAATAGAATTTTAATCTTTCTCTTTTGTGTATGAATTGTATTCAAGTTCAAGTGAAGTATATAGTGTTTGCACTTTTGAATTTTTTTGTTCATATTGTAAGTGCAAGATAACTGCATGGAAAATTTTAAATAAATATTTTGGATGCCATTTCTCCAGTATTGTAAATTGTTTGTGTTTGTTTGGTGATGCTAGGAGTCTTTGCATATAAAACATAGCATAAATTGTTTGATTGTTTATTTTATATATATTATTACAAATGACTGGTGACATCATCTTACTATTCTACAGATGGCTAAAGAGTTAGATGCCATATTAGATCATGGAGAAGCTAATCCCGCTGCCAGCTGCAGAACAGAGTCTGGATCTGTGTCCTTCCTTGATCAAATCATTTTGCCAATATATGAAACATTGGCTGCGGTCAGTGGACCTCTATTTCAGATTTGTTTGTTGTATTTTTTAAGTATCTCACTTTGTTTTGTTCTTGATTTTGGAATTGGATTTGTTGTTATCTCAATCATGGTATGTATGTTATTGGAAATTTATGTAAAGATTGTCGGATTTAAATACTCTAGAATTGCATTAATTAATTAATAATAATATGGTGAAGCAGGTTATACATCAAAACATTATAGCTCTAAAACCCTTTTCACTAATTATAAACTAAAACTACTTTTGCCAACTTTATCAGATGGCTTCTCAATAACTTTCAAAAGTTTGTGTATTATTTTTTATTTTCAATCAAGATCGCACTTCTTTCAATGGCATGCCAATAGCTTACTGAGTTTACTTTATTTGTTTGAATTAAGAGTGCAATGCTGCAGATAATTGTATTCTCCTTAGGAGAAAGTCTCATCAGATTCTTTTACTTAATAGCCTAAAGTTGACTAGTGTTGTAGATGATAAAAGTTCTGGCTTCTAAAAAAATCAACATAACCGATTTATCCAAAAAATTTAACGGAAAAGAGGTAGAAACAAGAATAGCAATTGTTACTTTAGGTTCTTGTAGAAGCCCTTTAGGTGACAATTCTCTTTGTGCGTTTCCATGGCCCTTTATTATCTAAAATTGCTGATAATGTTTTATGAATGTATGGAGTCTGTTTATGTGGTACATCTAGTTCTGAGATGTTGAAACTTCGCATGTGTGAATTAAATTGTTAGTTCTCTAGTATGTTGCATCTGATGGGGGATTGGGGTATTACATTTCTTTGCTGGTATGGAGATGGTAGTTTCATAGCTGGCTTTACTGATATGGTGGTTTCTTCCTGATGATGCTTCTTGAAAAGTTTCTAGGGTCATATTGTGCCTGATACATTCTCCATTTAGTCTTGCCAATAACTTCTGCTTTGTTTTATTTTTCGCATGCAGGAAGCTGCCAGAAACAATAATGGGAAAGCTGCACATTCAGCATGGAGGAATTATGATGACTTTAATGAATACTTTTGGTTTGTTTGTTTGCCGTTTCTATTTCAGATGAATGATATGATTCTTTCTTTTTGGCAATGTGACATTTCCTATTCAATCTGTAGGTCACCTGCTTGTTTTGGATTGAGCTGGCCTATGAGGAGGGATTCACCATTTTTGTTGAAACCTAAAAAGGGAAAAAGGGTTAGTTATATCTCTACCTTGTGGCCAAATTTATTCATGCTTTTGATGGGAAAAAGGGTTATATCTATAGTTTTCTGCTCCTTATTGGGGCTGCGGTGTTTGGGGTGGTCTGCTAGACCACCCTTTCGGTTTACCTTTTCTTTCTTCGAATAAAATTGTCTCCTTATAAAAAATAAGTTGATTCATGCTTTTGTATATTCGATCCTTCTGAAGGTATTAAACTTAAACTTGACACTACATATTTTCATTTGGCACCTTTCTGCTAAAAAATCTCAATGAGTAAGAGTTGTTTAAAACTCTGAAGGTGTCCATATTTACCCTCCTAATCTCATCATATACGGATGTTCCACATTCAGTTGTCTCAAACTTACAAGTTGTATATTATTTTTTTCAAATTTAACAACTAGAATTGTATATTATTTTTTTCAAATTTAACAACTAGAATTGTATAGCTGTATGTTCACTCTATTCTTATTTGCAACTGTTCTTTCTACCTTTCTTCTTCAATTATTTATTTTTAAGCATCACTGATTTGATTAAGCATGATGTAACTGGTTTGCGTAAGCATGATGAAATTATGGTACATGAATTTTTTCTGAAAGTCTTGGTCAGTTGGTCCAAAATTTTCAATTGATTGTTGACATGTCGAATCTCTTTGGTGATTAACATATGTATTTCAGATTGACTGGGTGGTAAATTCTGATCAATTACATATGTTGGTGAAGTAATAATTAAGGTGTTAACAATTTACTAGTATGTACAAAGATAATACTGGGGTGTAATTTTCTGTTTTAGTCTCACTTATTATTGCTTGTAAGTTGTATCATATAGGTGGAAAAACATCCTTTCGCTTAAACCATTTGTTTCCTCCTCCCTTTGATTATTGCTTTGGATTGGCAGACTGGAAAAAGCACTTTCGTTGAGCATCGGACCTTTTTTCACCTGTATCGAAGTTTCCATCGCCTGTGGATCTTTTTAGCTTTGATGTTCCAGGTTAAGTTTGCATTTCCACATGTGGTTTCTGAGATAGTTCGGCTTAAATGCCTACATTTTATTTATTTATATAATTTGTGTTTTCTACATTTTATTTATTTATATAATTTGCATTTCCACTTAATTGGATAAGGCCTTGTTGTTGTTGTTGTTGTATATAATTTGTATTTTCTATTGTGAAGGCTTTGGCAATTATAGCCTTTAATAAAGGACGCATCAATTTGGATACTATTAAGACAGTCCTTAGCATTGGGCCAACTTTTGCCATCATGAACTTCATAGAGAGTAAGTTTTATTTATTTATTTATTTTTGCGTATTCCAAATAATATGCAGATTGATCCTTGCAAATAAGTCTAAAAAACTTATTCCATTTTTGCTATTTTTTTTTTCCTGTTTTGTTCGTTGGCTGATGTCCTATATGTGTAGGTTTTTTGGATGTGGTGCTCATGTTTGGAGCTTACACCACAGCCAGAGGCATGGCTATCTCTAGACTTGTGATTAGATTTTTCTGGTTTGGCTTGAGCTCTGTTGCTGTGACATATATCTACCTGTGAGTCTTTTTTCCTTTAGACAGTTACCCAAACAACATTTTTACCTGATATCTGTTTAATACATTTACAATTTATAAATTTGCAGGAAAGTTCTGCAGGAAAGAAATGACAGAAACTCCGATTCATTTTACTTTCGGATATATATTCTTGTATTGGGTGTTTATGCAGCTTTGCGCATGGGCCTTGCGCTATTGCTTAAGTTTCCGGGATGTCATAAAATTTCTGAGATGTCTGATCAATCCTTCTTCCAATTTTTTAAGTGGATTTATCAGGCAGGTCCTATTTTTCTTGGTTTGAAATGATGACCAAATAATTTTAAATTGCTATGGCCAAAATGGTGATGACTTTATTTTTTGCTTTTATTTGCATTTTCAGGAGCGTTACTTTGTTGGACGTGGTCTTTATGAGAAGATGAGCGATTATTGCAGGTGTGAGGACAAATGGAACGTTGTATTTTTTACCATCTGTTCAGTTTTGAGCCTCGTTTCTTTTGTTGTCATGATTAACAATGTGATCCTGTTAATCAGAATCTGATGTAGTTGAGTTGAGCCGACGCTAATTATTTTGGGATACAGTCTCAAGTGACCCTTGAAACTTGGGAAAAAAAAGGGCTCATTCAATGAACACAAATTCTATTCAGAATCTGATGTAGTTGAGTTGAGCTGACACTAATTGTTTTGGAATAGTCTCAAGTGACTCTTGGAACTTGGAAAAAAAAAAAAAGGCTCATTCAATTAACACAAATTCTTTAGATAAAGGCTTAGTAGAGTATACTTTAATATTTTTTTGTTCTTGCCTTATCCTTTTTTTGTTCACATTACAAATAGACTAGTATGTGTTAAATGGAACTTGTTGATTATTTGTTATTCGATTGGACTTAGTATGATTGAGTTGTCCAGATTATTTTAGGTTTAGATATGCTTTTGCTTTTCAGATGATATATCAGATATTCTGGCATATTGATAGAATCTCTGTCGCTAGGCTACTCTTGTCATCACTCAAGGGAGACTAACCTCTTAACTTTTTATATGTAAGTTATGGTGTCATTCCCTGTCATGTTCTGAGAGTCTACTGATATATTTGTAGCAACCCTAAGCTATTTTGAGTTCGTTATTGTGTTCTTTTTCACTTTATCATTGTCTCTTGGTATTTGGAGTTCTCAAGTTTGTACAGATCTTTGTGATGAAGATTTCTGTCGGTACTCCGGCCAGTATAATTTGACAGCCTGGTTCAATTTAATTTTCTTGTTTGTCTATATCTGCCTGTCAAAACAAGTGTTGACCTCCATGCTGGTTGATTACCTTTTATTTCTTCAAGAGACCACATATGTAAAAGAGCCTTGTATGTTGTGTAAAAAAATTCTAATTTTTGCAGATATGTGCTCTTTTGGTTGGTGATTTTCATCTGCAAGTTCACCTTTACCTACTTTCTACAGGCAAGGCTACTCTTACTCATCCTTGAGTTTTACCGATCAATGATTATAATTTTTAGTTGATCAACAAGTCTAGTGTTTGGTTAAAGAATTATGTGAGAATTTAGTCAATACAAGCTGTAGGTTTGGTTGAATTGGAAATTGGTTTTTTTTTTTTATTTTTATTTTTTATTTTTTATAATTTTTTTTATAATTTTTATGGAGAGGGGGAATGGAATTGTAGTGGTGGGATAGAATTAAATTTTTAATCTCTCTTTGGGCATCTTGGTTCAAATATTTAAAGATATTCATTTCCAAGTGTAGTTCTCCTAGTTTGGGATGAGTTTGAGTTGAATGCAATATATGATTTTGCTTTATAGTGTAACATGAACTTTAGGACGTATTGTATTTGTCTTCTATTTTTTAATATATCGAGTCACTGTATCGTGTGAAGATAACAAGTTTACATGCCAATCATTTCATTTACTGAGTCTTCATTTATACTGCAGATTAAACCTCTTGTTGAACCCACAAAAATTATTGTCAATCTTCCATCTCTGCAATACGCATGGCATGATTTGATGTCAAAGAGTGAGTTTCTCAACATTATTTTACTCTGTGTTCTTGTTTATGCTCATTGCTTACTAATACTTAGTTGCTTGAATCAGCAGTCAATCCAAAGCATATTTTATGTTTTCTAGTAGAAAGGGACAAAAAACTCAGATATTGCTGTCTTTAGGCCCCATAAATTTAGTGAACTGCAATAATTGGTCTAACATTAAATGGGATAACATTATGTCGAGAAGCTACTTCTACATTCAGGATGACTACTTTATCAACATCCTCTGATTCACATTAAAATCATGTTGAACCGCCTTTCTCACTGTTCCTCTTTTTGCACATGGCCCACAAAGCACTGCATCTTCCCTACTGGTCTCCAACAATCGTCTCATGGAAGGTCCTTGTTATGTCTTGAAGCTCTTGGTATTTCAAGAGATTGCACTTTAAAACTTGACGTGTTAGTGCTCGGCATCTTTATATTTGTGTCATTCATGCAAATTTAAAAAAACGTAAGCAAACTGAATAAAGCTTTACTGGCTACATGGCTTTGGGAGAAAGGAATCAAATTCTTTCTGGCACAAGGTGATAAGGAGCAAGTACGAGATGGAGGCTAATGGGTGGGACGCAAACCCTTCGCTGCGTGGTTGAGTAGTTGTCCTTGGTTAGATATTTCATCTGGTCTTTCTTCTTTCCTAGAGCGTTGCAACTTTGAGGTGGGCATCGGGGGAGGGTGAGGTTTTGGGAGGATGGTTGGTTGGAGGGTGGACCATTGAAAGAGCAGTATACTAGATTATTTTGTTATCGAGAAAGCACGACCAGAGCATTTCAAGTTTTGTGGATTCTTCTCTTCAGCCATTGAATTGGAATTTCGATTTCAGAAGAAATTTGAATGAGCTGGAGTTAGCAGAGGTGGCTAGGTTATTAGAGGAGGAAGATGTTTGTTCAATTCAATCAAGAACGGATAATGAAGGTGGAAGCTAAACGGGTCAGGATCGTTCACTTGCAATTTCTATAGCTTCTCCTTGTGCAACAATGGAACTGTGCAACATTTTCCACCTTTCCAAAGGTCAAAGTTCTTGTGTGGTTAGTGGCTATTGGGAAGGTCAACACATGTGATCAAGTTCAAAAGCAAAGGCCTTTTATATGCATTTCTCCACTGTGGTGCCGTTTGTGTAAATCTGAGGAGAGTGTTAATCATGTTTTTCTCCATTGTTCTTACTCGATACAGCCGTGGTGGAAATTGTTCAAGGAAGTTAGAGCTAGTTGGGTGATTTCAAGGGGATGTTTCGAGCTTCTAAGCACCAAGTTTGAGCCTTTAGGAAAGGGGAAGAAAGCTAAAGCTTTGTGGGTCTGTTTGGTGTTGGCAGTTTTTTGGAACATTTGGTTGGAGCGTAATAGAAGAATTTTTGAAGATTATAAGGGAGTGGGGTAGAGATAGATACTGGGCAGCCCTCTGGGCATCAGTTTCAAATGAGTTCAGGGATTATACTCTTTCTCATATAGTGATGCATGTGTTAGCAGCCGTAAAATGGATATCAGTCAGTTTAGTTACTAGTGAAGTAGTCCTACTTGAAAGGTCTTAGCTAATTTTTCTAGTTGGCAGATTTCTTATCCAGTTGTTGTAATTTCTTCTAGTGGTTTAATAATATTCTACCGTTTCTTCTAGGGAAAAAAAAAAAAATATTTAAAAATGTACCGTTTGGGTGGATATCTTTGTACTAATTCTCTCTCTCTCTTCATTCTTTGCGAATTATCTGATTATATGTTTAAGGCTGTATTGTATCATGATACGTTTGTAGTGATATGGCGTCTCTTATATAAAACTGAATATCATGTTGATTCTCAATAGCAATTATGTCTTAAATCATTAAATTTGTGTAAATTTGTAAGCTTAAGTGTAACTTTTTTCATTTTATATGAACGTACTTTTTTCTTTTTTTGTAAAAAATTAATGATTCCATGGTTCTTGACGTTTCTTTAGTGGATTGATTTTTCTTAGAATAGAATGCTGCTACATGTTATTGATCTATACCTGTGTTTTTGCAGACAACCATAACGCATTGACTGTAGCTTGCCTATGGGCTCCTGTTGTGGGTGTGAGTATCTTCTTTCTTTAGCTTCAGAGTTCTTCTAAATGAGAGGATTAACTTTATTTCATGGAGATGTATTGTGTTAGACAATGTTGAGTTCGGTTAAGTATGACCTCGGGAATGTTTTAAAATAGCGTTAAGAATCTGTTGTGCTTCAAGTGAGGTCCTCACCTTCATGTTTTTCTCAGATCAAGGGCTTTCTCCCTTGTTACCTTTTGAATTGAAACAGCTTGTTGTGGCTTAGAATGTGCATGTTGCATCCACATAGGATGCTCTGTTCTAATGTATGTTCTACGGTCCAGATCTATCTAATGGATTTTTACATATGGTACACCCTCCTGTCAGCCATAATTGGTGGTGTGATCGGTGCAAGAGCTCGGTTGGGCGAGGTATTATCTACTCTGAATAGCTGCAATTTCTCTCTCTACCACATATGTGTAATTCCTGCTCTTTGTTTGTATTGTTCATTATTAAACATATTGTTACTTTGAGTTTATAGTTGTTATGGAAAACGGTTTGAAAATGTAGGATAACATACGTCATTCTATCATCTCATCTGGTCTCATGTTTTCTGTTTTCCTTACACTTGTTTCGTCATGGAATTCATCACAATTTCTTACAGGGTTAGTTGTTTGTTTGTGGCAGATACGTTCGATTGAAATGGTGCATAAACGCTTTGAGAGTTTTCCCGAAGCTTTTGACAAGAATCTTGTCTCACAAAATAAAAGGTGGTTATTTTTTAATTTTCGTATACTTCTGAATTTTTTGGTCTGAGGCGTACAGGTCTAGTGAAACGGCAACCTTAAAAACTAAACAGATTGCGTGGTATATTAATATGGCCTTGCTGATATTATGGTATAATAAGATGCTTGATTGCCTAGTATACTAATACGGTGGTGCTGTCCACACTCACACCTTTTTACTGCCCACCCACCCCCTGGTAGTTTCTGTCCTTTGATCCTCTTCAATTCTGCCCACCCACCCCCTGGTAGTTTCTGTCCTTTGATCCTCTTCAATTCATTTCGATCCGACGACCAAAACTTGACAGGTGTGCGTGGAAGGTAAAAAGGGGTGTGTGGATAGCACTACCCTACTAATATGTGACTTGATAGCCATTGATGAAACTGGATCTTGGTCAGTGTCATTTTCAAATGGTTTGTAATCAAAATTACGTTTTCCTTTGTCATTTTTTTGTTAATAACTCGCATCTCAATTCACCTTTTCAGGTTGCCGTTTAACACTCAGTCATCCCAGGTGATTTTCTTAAGTTGATTTCTTTCCCTTACTGAAGTTTTTGAGGAAGGCATCACATACCCTGCAGTTATTTTATTAGGTCATTCATATTTCATGTTAGCACAAAGCAATGCTGCAAGTTTTTGCTTTATGAAAGTAATCTAGGATGTCAAGAGTTATTTTGAGTTACATATTAGTTTTTAGGCTTCACTGTAAGTCTCTATTTGTGCAAGATAGTGGGACACAAGTTGAAAGCATCTATGCATGTTAATTGCTCACTCCATCGAATAGGATGTGCCAGCTGCATCTGGGACACTTCATTTTGTTCTTGGATTGTTGGATGGATCTAACATGACACTATCTAGCTTCCATCCTGTTAAAATCCATTTGCAGTGAAATTACTTGACTACTTCCGAAAATGTCTGTATCTTAAAATTCATTGTCCTCTTGTGATTTGCTTTATTTTTTGTGGTTATTTTGCAAGTTTGACTTTGCATTTTTCTCTGTTCTTGTTACTGCTACCACTTTTGTGTTTTCTTCCTGCTATGAAATTTTTGTCACTGAGGTTTGAGTTTGTTCATTCAGGATTCTCAAGATCCAAACAAGATGTATGCAGCCACCTTTTCCCCATTTTGGAATGAGATAATCAAAAGCTTGCGAGAGGAGGATTTTATTAGTAATAGGTAATATGATGAGGCTTGCTACTTGCCAATGAAAAGAAAAATCTCAATTGCTATGCTTCTACCACTCCAGTGTTTTTTTGTCCTATGGTTCGTATGCCTTGAACCTTCATTTTTTTTATCCTACAGGGAGATGGATTTGCTATGTATACCTAGCAACACAGGAAGTCTAAAATTAGTTCAATGGCCCTTGTTTCTTCTGAGTAGTAAGGTACGACCTTTTGATTTTATTTGGAAAATAGATTTAGCCAGTAGAAGTTAGTAGTATAAAACCTCTTTCTTTCTTTATTTATTTTTATATTTTACAGATTTTGCTGGCAATTGATTTGGCTTTGGACTGCAAAGATACACAGGCAGATCTTTGGAATAGAATCTGCAGGGATGAGTACATGGCATATGCAGTTCAGGAAGTCTACTACAGTATTGAAAAGATATTATATTCTCTGGTTGATGGTGAAGGGAAACTTTGGTATGAATTCTCTTATATTTACAATGTTATTCTTCTTTTTCAAATGTGTCAGATTGTTATATATCATGATTGTCATGTTGTTGTGTTGCTGTGCAACCTTCTTTATGGTAGGGTTGAAAGGATCTACCGGGAGATCAACAACAGTATTATGGAGGGTTCTCTTGTCATAACTTTAACCCTTAAGAAGCTTCCGCAAGTGTTACAGAAACTTACAGCTTTAACTGGGCTGCTGGTATATTCTTTGACCATTTGCATAAAGTTTCATGTTGTTTAAATTAATAGTTTAGAACTCTTATTCTAGTGCTTGTCATTGTAAATTTGTCGTCACTCGTTGTATACGGTTGGTTTATGTAAAGTCCTGGTTCCATTTGTTTTTCTCTTACACCTGGCTACTACAGAACATGTAGCTACAGTTTATATATGATTTAATTCTTTTTATGGTTTATACACAGCTTGTTGAATATTTTTAGGTTTATTATTAGATATCATGTCATTTTATCCTTGTAATATGGTTTTGTAATGTCTTATTGTTCACATGGATGGTTTATGTCAGATACGCAATGAAACTGATGTACTTGCAAAAGGTGCTGCTAAATCTGTATTTGATCTGTATGAGGTTGTTACTCATGATCTTTTGTCATCTGATTTGAGGTATGTGAATTGTTTCTCTTTAATTTTACACAGTATTTTTTTATTTTCTTGTGATGTTTATAATTATCTTTTCTTTTCTCTCCCTTCACACTCCAGGGAGCAGCTTGACACTTGGAGCCTTTTAGCAAAAGCAAGAAATGAAGGGCGCCTGTTTTCCAGGATAAAGTGGCCCAATGATCCAGAAACTGTAAGCATCATCGAATAGAAGACAAAAAGGGACAAATTCATGCCTTTTATATTATGTCTTCAAAATTTCAGGGGTTTTAATTATGTATAAATTTTTGGGTATGTTGCCGCAGAAAGAGCTGGTTAAGCGGTTACACCTTCTTGTCACCGTAAAGGATTCTGCAGCAAATATTCCAAAAAATCTTGAAGCAAGGAGAAGATTAGAGTTTTTTACAAATTCATTGTTTATGGACATGCCTTCAGCAAAGCCAGTTAGTGAAATGGTTCCTTTCTGGTAAACGATTTTCTTCATGTGAGCTGAAATTTCATTACCTGTCAGTTTTATTTATTTTATTTTGAAATTCTGTTGTTTGTTTGAGAACAGTGTCTTCACCCCGTACTACAGTGAGACGGTACTTTATAGTTCCTCCGAACTGCGAGTTGAAAATGAGGATGGAATATCAATTCTTTTTTATCTTCAGAAAATTTTTCCAGGTATGTTATCATGCATTTATGTTTATATTCACAAGAACATAATCGTTATCCACATTAATATTCTGGCTTTATGTCATGTGATTGAGTTAGGTACAAGTGCAGATAATATATTAGATATAGTAAGCTTATACATATGCGGCCCAGTTTTGTACGACCTGTATATGAGCTGATAGGAGCCAAATTCTAGAATTCTTGTGCTTGGATTAATTAAATCTAAACAGATTGCGAGCATGAACACTGCTTCTTCTACAAGGGCATTTTATCTTGGGTGGCCTAGTTATTATCCAGCTGAAGATGGACATGACTTTGACCTTTAGTCACTTGACAACCTCTAAATGAATTAAACCTTGAACAAATATGTGACTGCTTGTTTCAGCTTAACTTGCTTCTTTGAGATGGATCCCTGTTCTCCATGACTGTAGTTTATGCCTGCCTCATTGATTTATTAGTTGGTTTCTCTGTTTATTTTACATTAAATGGCTAGGAATTTGTCTTTCATTTTAGATGAATGGGACAACTTTTTGGAACGGATTGGTCGGGGTGAGTCTACTGGGGATGCTGAGCTGCAAGAAAATTCAAGTGATTCTTTGGAGCTTCGGTTTTGGGTATCTTATCGCGGGCAGACGTTAGCCAGGACAGGTTAGTTTCACTTGCTATCATAGCTGGCATTTGTTTCAAAAACTTAACGTCTCTGGTAGTTCATTTACATTTATAATCATATTTCAGTTAGGTCGGTTTACTATTTGACTTGTACCTAATGATTTAATGTTCTTGAATTGCAGTGCGTGGTATGATGTATTATAGAAGGGCTTTAATGCTACAGAGTTTTCTGGAAAGAAGATCACCTGGAGGTATTTGCTTGTGGGAATTTGAATTGCTTTCAAGTTTCTTTGGGCGAGCTTTTGAACTATGTGTGTAACTTAAACGTTTCTTCCTGCACTGTTAGTGGATGATTATCCTCAAAATGATGTCTTCACAAGTCAAGGCTACGAGTTGTCACGTGAATCACGAGCACAAGCAGATTTGAAATTTACTTACGTGGTGTCATGCCAAATTTATGGGCAACAAAAGCAGAGGAAGGCACCAGAGGCTGCTGATATATCCCTTTTGTTGCAGAGGTATGATCTTTTAATGTACATCACTCAACTTTTGAATTATGTTGACCCTTTCATATGCGATTGTAAACAATGAGATTCTTTATTTTCTTATTAGTAATTCTGCGTTTAAGACAAGGCCCTTTTATTCCTTAATGTGGACGGTAGACTAGTACCACCTGTAATGGTAAGTTAGGTCTGTGTCAAGTATATAAACCTTCCTATTGTGTTCATATCTTGTTCAAAATACCCTCACCTAGATGATCGAGTGTGATTGTAAAGCATTGCTTCTTGTTGAGATGAGCTTAAATTGCACAGTTAATGATACCTCCTAGCCATCCGTAGCCTAGGTTATATGCTTGCTGTTCTGTTCCAATCATATATCAGATTTCTGCATACAGTTTCTTCAACTCTTTTGAGGATGCCAAGTTATATATTTACAGTAAGATAACCTTAGTTTTCCTGATCCTAACTTTTTTTGAAACTGGATGGTGGTGTAGGTATTTTATTTTTACTTTTATGATACTATTTTCAATTCATATTTGGTTACTAGGAATGAGGCCCTTCGGGTTGCATATATACATGTGGAGGAGAGTGGTGCAATTGAAGGAAAGACCACAAAGGAATTTTATTCAAAGCTTGTAAAAGCCGATATAAATGGAAAGGATCAGGTACTCAGAAGTTTTGTTTCCTGTCTTTTTCTTCCATCAAGTTTAAGGTCTTCTGTAGTAGACTCTAGAATAAATTTTCTTTTGTATCATTTTGACCTTTTTGTTATCCTATATGACTAATGACATATTGAAGCATCCCATCTGAAAACTCAAATTATTTGGTTGAGAGTGTCGACAGTTATAAGTTGACTATATTAGGTGAATGGTACAGTCTGGGAATAATGCTTAATATCGTCACTGTAACTTCTATGCACTGTTAATTCATCTCTTAAGTGTACCTATTGATCTCATTATGAGCTTGTGTGTTTTTCTTGTCTAATATGAATTTACAGGAAATATACTCCATTAAACTACCTGGTGATCCAAAGCTGGGTGAAGGGAAGCCTGAAAATCAAAACCATGCCATAATCTTCACTCGTGGGGAAGCTGTTCAGACTATTGACATGAACCAGGTGACTAGTCTATCATCGGGTGTTTGTTTGTGCCTGAGTGCATTTCTGCTTGGTTTGTTATCTTCATTTTTTTTTCAAACTCTCATTGGCTCCCTATATGGCTGTTTAACTTAATGGATTGTTACTTTATTTGTAAATATTGAATTTATGCACCCTAAAAATGCCATCTCTTTCTCTCTCTCTCTCTCTCTCTCTCTCTCTCTCTCTCTCTCTCTCTCTCTCTTTAATTTTTTTTTTTTTTTTTTAATCACATGTATTTTGACACAAGGCTAATTTTACATGAGATTTGGAACTTTGCCACAATTGAGGATGATATAACAGCTGATTTATATTTGCTCTTATTCTGTTCTTTAGGACAACTACCTTGAAGAGGCAATGAAAATGAGAAATCTTCTTGAGGAATTTCGCAGAAATCATGGTCTTCGACATCCAACTATTCTTGGTGTGAGAGAGCATGTATTTACTGGAAGGTTTGGCCAGCTTTTTTTTTTTTTTTTTTTTTTTTTTTTTTCCAGATTTTATTTGTTTGTCAACCTTTTATTATGGCTAGCATAACTGATTACATGCGTGTTATAATTATCCATGCAGTGTTTCATCTTTAGCATGGTTCATGTCCAATCAAGAGACTAGCTTTGTGACTTTAGCCCAACGAATTTTAGCATATCCTCTCAAGTGAGTATTCTGTAACTTGACCCTGCTTGTGCCTAACATTTTGAATATATGGTTAGAAATGTTGTGTTTGTCTTCCCCTAATTACTATTTTCTGGCATGCGTTTGAGTTTTGTTTTCTCTAATTGTAGAGTTCGCATGCACTATGGACACCCAGATGTGTTTGACCGAATTTTCCACACTACCCGAGGTGGGATTAGTAAATCGTCACGTGTTATCAATATAAGTGAAGATATTTTTGGAGGTAAGCATATAAGATGCTGGTGATTTGTTTCTTATATCCCCCCGGCCCCCCGCGCCTCTCCACTTTTCCTAAATGGCTTTGAAATCAGAATATCTGTCTTTCTGTATCAAAACATGTTATTCAGGAAAAGAATATTTGATTAGACTAAATTAGCAAACATAGTAAAACGGAGGAGTTAAATTGGCCAAAATGAGTACAACACGGATCATTTTGACATTTAAGCATAAATTAAGACAGCAAGTGAGGAATTCCTTAATTTTTCATGGTTGTACATAAAAGACAATAATCTAAATTTGGGTGTTATTTTTCTAACATAGACGGTGGAAAAAAGTTTTCCCTTGTAAGTTTTTCCAAGTTTATTTCTTTTTTTACTATATTTATACTGTGAAGTGTAAAGACTGTCTGCATTTTAATGCAGCTTAGTTGATAACCTTAATAATTTGACGGTTCACTGAAGAAAGTAGTTCCAATGAATTTTTAATTTTAATTTTAATTTTTGTTGGAGTTCCAAATTTTGAGTTTTAATCTTTTTCTTTTGGATACTTCTATATATCTTTTGGGTTTATAACTTAGTATGCTTCCTCTTGTGTCTTATCAACTTATTTAAAACAAACTCTGCAGGGTTCAACTCCACACTGAGGCAGGGTAACATTACACATCACGAATACATTCAGGTTCCATACTTAAGCAAATGTTGTTGTCCATTTAAGTGAAGAATACCTTTCTGGTGTCTTGATAGTGTGCTTCTTTGTGTAGGTTGGAAAAGGAAGGGACGTTGGGTTAAACCAGATTGCATTGTTTGAAGGGAAAGTAGCAGGTGGAAATGGGGAGCAAGTCCTCAGTAGAGATGTGTACAGGATTGGGCAACTTTTTGATTTTTTCAGAATGTTCTCTTTCTTTTACACCACCGTTGGTTTCTACGTGTGTACAATGGTATTTTGCTTTGGACTCCTGCATAGTCCTATTTTGTTATTTTTGTTCTTCATATTTGTTTCATGATAAAAATTGGTTCGTAATGCAGATGACTGTCCTTGTAGTATACATATTCTTATACGGAAGGGCCTATCTGGTAAGTGGTAACTTAATCCATAATGGAGAAAATATAATTTTGCAAGTGGACGGGCAAATTTAGGTGAACCATCTCAGTTTTTATAAATGCAATGTAAAGGATACCTTTTTGTTTAATATTATAGGCGTTCTCCGGACTTGATCGTGCCATTGCGAGGCAAGCAAAATTGTCGGGTAACGTAGCATTGGATGCTGTTCTCAATACACAATTTTTGGTCCAGATTGGAATTTTTACCGCAGTTCCAATGATTATGGGTTTTATACTTGAGTTGGGATTGCTGAAGGTTAGTCTATTTAATTCTCATCAGTGTATGTCCATATATAATATCCCTATCTGATGACTGATGGTGATGCAGAATAATATCTAGGACATTTTAAGTTTTTTCCCTATATGATTTAGTTTGCTGTTTGTAACAAGATTAAGATTACTTTCTTATTTCTAGTAGATTTAGGATATAAAGGGATTCCATAAGAGAACGCGAATTAGGGTTCAAGATGCAAGAAATAGAAGTTTAGAATTAGAACACAGAAGAAATAGACAGACAAGGAGTGATCTAGAACAGGAGGAGATTTGGGTTTAGAAGGAGGCAAGAGATAAGCAAGGGGAGATAATTTCATTTATCAAACAAGTCTGCCAGTATTGAATTACGGACCACCTATTTATAATAACCTAATCCTACAACAAACAAGAAAGAATCTTAAATCTTTATATGGAAATATCTTGCGTTTAAAATTCTACGAGGCATTAGGATGAACAATTTTTTCAATGCTCTAGAGAATGTTAAAATAAGACTGGAAAAGAAACTTTGTTTTCTTTATATGCCAATGAAGCATTGTTTTCTTAATATGGAAATATGCGGTTAAAATTCTAGTGTTTCAGCTTTTGCAATTAAAAACCTTTTGTGTTACAGGCGGTTTTCAGTTTTATCACAATGCAGCTTCAGTTATGTTCTGTGTTCTTCACGTTCTCATTGGGAACTAAAACTCACTATTTTGGGCGCACCATTCTCCATGGAGGCGCAAAAGTATGAATTTGGTTTATCCTTTTCTTAAAAGTTCTGTTTTTGTCTATCCTTGTCTTTTTGCATGGAATTAATGGATTATATTTGTATTTTCATTTCACCAAAAGTACCGAGCAACTGGTAGAGGCTTTGTTGTCAAGCACATAAAGTTTGCTGAGAATTACAGGCTCTACTCAAGGAGTCATTTTGTCAAAGCGTGAGTGATATTTTCCAGTTATATTATTTCATTTCCGTTTTGTACAATTTTTGGATGAGGGGTTGTTCTTATATTCGTGCAGTTCTTTAAACTTTTTTTTTTCTTTTGTCAAGCTCTTATAAATCATGTCTTAATTTTTCAGGTTTGAAGTGGCTCTACTTCTCATAGTTTACGTTGCATATGGTTACGTAGATGGTGGTGCTGTTTCTTACATTTTGCTAACTCTCAGCAGTTGGTTCCTTGTCATCTCCTGGTTGTTTGCTCCCTATATCTTTAATCCGTCTGGTTTTGAGTGGCAAAAGTATGTTTATTTTTGGTTGACTTTCTATTTGTATGATACATATATGTGCAGCTGTTATTCTTTTGTAACATCTGAGATGTTCTCTTACTAATTAAACAGGACAGTGGAGGATTTTGATGATTGGACCGGTTGGCTTCTTTACAGAGGTGGGGTAGGAGTTAAGGGAGAGCATAGTTGGGAATCCTGGTGGGATGAGGAACAGGTTTGTAACTGTAATAATAGTAGAATTTCAACAAAAGTGGTGTTTCTGTCTTTCGAAATTTTTTAATTGGTTTATTAATATTAAAATATCTGTTGTTACCTGTTATCGTGTACATAAGTTTTCATGTTGCGGTTATCTGTATAGGTTGAATTAAAGTCCTATTATTTTGGACTCAGGCTTTTGTATGTTAATTCTTTAATCTAGCTTTGTTTAGGATTGTGGGTCGCTTGGCTGTAGATCTGTGTTGGTATTCTTGAGGTTATCTCTGTTGTAAACACATTGTCATGTTTTTTTTATCTACAAATCTCAAGGAAACCGCACCCGGCTGTGGAGCTAAATTTTGTGTGGCTTTTTGTTTCTATTTCTTTTTGCCTTTAGACTGGTGTCAAGGGGAGGGGCACTAGCATAGAGCTAGCCATATTTCGACATTAAGTATTTCTTCACTGATGAGTAGCAAGAATATCTGTTTTGCAGCATTGCCTCTGCCTTAAATCTTCTTTCGGTTTTCTAATCTAGGAATATTGTTTTTCAATTTTCTAACCTAGGAATATTTTTTTCAGCCATAATTAATGTTTATCATTGTTTGTTTGTTTTAATGATGCATGTGATTGTTATATATATATATATATATTTTTTTTTTTTTTTGGTGAAGAATGGTCATCTCATTTGTTTTTGTTGTGTTCAGGATTGTTTTTTTCATTTTTGCCCTTGTTTTATTTATTTCATGTGTTTAAGTTGATTTTATGCTTATGCAGATGCATATTCAAACGCTGAGAGGTCGTATATTGGAAACAATTTTGAGCTTGAGATTCTTCATGTTTCAATATGGCGTTGTCTACAAACTCCAGATCACTGCAAAGGACACATCACTTGCGGTACACTTCATACTCTCTCTTTTATATATTTTTCAACTTTCAAACGAATCATATATGAGTGCAAAGTCAACCAAAGTATTTCCTCGTACCGTGCATCTTGCCAACCGAATCTTGCCTCTAGGAAATCCTAGGGGAAATTTGCGTTCATTAGGTTGTGGACTTGCGCTTAGATCATTTTTTGTTAAATTGTGGGACGATTATTGCTGTGGGTTGTACTTTCCTTGTATATATGCCTTGCACTCCCACAATTTGAAAAGATAAATAAAAAGAGGAAAAGAAGTATAGGAGAATTCTGTCTGGTAGATTGTGTGTGCTCTGCAGATGGGTGTTATTATCATGGCACAGAAGCTACTTCTTGTGAATTTGAGTATGTTGTGATTTCATGTAGAATTCTGTTGTGATTTCGTAATAACGAGATTAGTATAGAATTTTGTTGCGGTTTCATTTTGATTTGTCCTTGAGAAAGATGATTACGACTCTGCTAGTTCGAACTGATACTACAGTGCATAGTTGAACGTGTGCATACAGCTTTAGCATATGATGTTTAGTTTGCCCTTTTGTGATTTTGTATTGGACATGTTCTTTTGATTGTTAGCGTTGTTCGCTCTTTATTTTGACAGTTCTCTCTTTTGGTTTTGATCCAGATTTACGGATTCTCTTGGGTTGTGTTGGTGACCATTGTCCTGATTTTCAAGGTTTGTGCCAAGAAAGTTATCATCGCCCCTTTTGAGTATGCTCGATAAATTTTAATTAAATTCTTACTCTACGTGACTGAATTTATTTTGCATTCCAGGTTTTCAGTTACAGTCCCAAAAAGTCGGCCAACTTCCAGCTAGTGATGAGATTTGCACAGGGTGTGGCGTCCTTAGGACTTGTTGCGGTTATTGCTCTTCTTGTAATATTTACTGAACTCTCAATAACTGACCTGTTCGCAAGCCTGCTCGCAATCATTCCTACCGGATGGGCAATATTATGCGTAAGTTATACTTTACATCATTGCACGTGTTAATCTATAAACACGATCATTTTGCAAAGTTATTTAAGCTGTTTCAATTGTGCGTAAAACAGCTAGCGGTCACTTGGAAGAGGATCGTGAGGAGTCTAGGTTTATGGGACTCGGTGAGGGAGTTTGCCAGGATGTATGATGCTGGTATGGGGATGTTCATTTTCGCTCCTATAGCGTTCTTGTCCTGGTTCCCCTTCATCTCCACCTTCCAGTCTCGACTTCTCTTTAACCAAGCATTTAGCCGTGGGTTGGAAATATCACTCATCCTCGCCGGAAACAAAGCCAACGTTGACGTCTAATCTGACTCTCTCCTGAAAAGTTTTGGCTGCCGCAAGTGTTTGACATCGCTTGTATGATATTGTACTTTTTGTGTGCGTGGGGCAAGGGTAGAACGGTTGTTTCTGTAGATAGATGGTTGTAAAAAATTGTAGCTGTGATTGAGAATTGTTATACTGAATTCGTTGACGGGTGAGGGCGACGGTTTAGGTTTATATCTCTGCTTATTGAATTGCTGCCCCATTTTGGTAAAATGACAAGATAGCCCTTGCGACGTTTTTGTGCCAATTCCCCATTGTTTCGTTAATTCCCAATATAATTAAGGGATTGCCATTCAGTATAATCCTTGGTCATAACTTTTTTAGAGGAATTTGTCAATTATTTTTTTTCTGAATTTTAATTTTAGCCGATTGTTGCTGGTTTCAAAAGGATAATTGGCTCAAATTAAAATTCAGCAGGAAATTGACCAATTATTGGCCATTTCTTACAAGTTCGGTAAGGTAGGGGTGAAATTGGCAAATAAATAACTCCACTTTATTTTACTTGGGGAGGGAAGACTCAAACTCGGGACCTCGAGGGAAAAGATTGTTACTTGGGGAGGTACGACTCGAATTTGGGACCTCGAGGGGAAAGAATATACGCTCCTCAATACTTTGTTTCATCCGTTGAGACTTACGTAGTAAGACCTTCAATTTTTATGGCGCTGAAATGAGCGGCAGGAACCATCAACTCGATTAGAACTACAAATTATAAAATCATGCAAATTTCCGGAAATCGGAGAATGCAACTATTCATCCAAACATCCAAAATACTATGATGAATAAGAAAAATAATGTCACACAAGTTTGAGATGTGATCCTTCCAGTCCTAAGACCGCATGACAAAACTACTTTGTATCAAATTCATCTGGAATTTGAAGCTCCAATGAATCCATGAGACTTGCAAGAAAACACATCATTCACCGCTATCGGTAGTGGGATTCAAACAGAAGCAAAGTTCAAATATATACGATCCATAGAACCAAACACGACCTAAAGGATACAGCACAAAGAACATACATTCAAGAAAAATCTATGGCCACAAACCAAAGCTACTAGCCTTATAACAGTTATAAGGCGGTGTATATATGAAGAATGAAAGCCACACGTATCACAGTTCAATATCACTAAATTGACAACGAACGATACAAATCAGTCAATGATCAGTACGAGAACTTCACAATTTCAAACCACGACACTCAGTACATTTAGTTCAGCAAACAGAAATTCCAAAACAAGTTCTCAATCATAATGTGGAAGAACAAATGCACCTAAAAAAACTCCGAAACGAATTCGAAGGGGCTATACTAGGATGCAAATTCAGCTCTTCTCATATAAATCACAACAAGCCAAGCAGACAATCACCCTGTTAAACCCATACGTAATCCTCAAATCTCCCTAGAAATACAACAAACTAAAACAAATCACCAATACGAGAAGAAAAGGCCAAACAAGCAATACTCCAGAAAATGTAATCCAAATGCGATTAACAGGACCGATATTACTTCCAGATTCAGAGAAAATATAGTGAAAGTAATCAACAACCCATTCATTTCGAAATAAACTTCAAATCTTTCGGTAATAAAATGAATTATACTGCAATACACAACCAAAATATAGTGAAAAAATATTGCCAAGAACTTCAAAATATAATATATCTTATCAAAAACAGCACAAATCCGTTCATGTCTCAAATCGAAGATCAGATTAAACGCCAAATCCATTAAAGCATAATCAAAATTAAAGTGCTTAACTTGACAGTCGCTAATTTCATTTCAATAACAAAAACACGAACCCAAATGAAATCGATCGAAATCAATCGACGTTCTGCATGATATCCTCTGCGGTGAACTTGGTGCCCTTGTCCTTGTCAGCGGCGGCTCGGCCCTTGGCCTTGCGGTCGAGCAGAGACTTGCGGTCCTTGTCGAGGCGGAGCTTGGTGATGACGACCTTGGAGGGGTTGATGCCAACATTGACGGTGGACCCGTTCACCTTCTCCCGGGTGATCCGCTCGATGTGGATGACCCACTTGCGGCGGTACACCTGCACGACCTTGCCCTCGCGGCCCTTATAGGTCCCACGCACGACCTGGACCTCGTCGTCCTTGCGCACCGGCATCGATCGGACGTTGTACTTGGAGCGGAGGTCGGTGGAGAGAGGCGCACTCATCAGCACGCGGCGCACGCTAGACGGCGCCGTGAAGTGAGCCTTGCGGTTCTTCCGGCGGGAGCTGGTGACGCGGGGATTATACTTCATTTTTGCTTGTTTTAGCTCGCTCCTGCTCTGCTCCTAGGGTTTTCGGCTAGGGTTTGAGATTCTGGCTGGTCTTTTAAGTTTGGGTTTATATAGGGAAGCGTTTGAATTGCAGGCTCGCTTTCGGATGCGGAAATTTTTTTATGTACCTTGCTTTGGGCCCAAACAGTGATAGAGATACGACTCTCGTCAAATAAGAATTTGAACTACATTATTACTATTTTATTATGAGACTTAATTCACTTTTATACCCTCTTAATGTAGATAATATCATTTATTAAAAAAAAATTGATTGATACGAACATCTCTTAATCTAACGGCTGAAAAATCCGAACACAAAAGGATTCCTTTGAGGACATGTATGTCGGATTTTGAAATATTATGGCTTGGATGATTAAGTGGATTGGAAAAGAAATGATATTTATCAATTTAATCATCTCGAGTTCACGTGAGATTTTTTAGTATGCCGATAACATAGTCTGGTATAACATATGTCATAATACAATTGTTTAGAAATTTAATTTTTCAAGTTTCTAACCAATTGTATTTTCACACTTGAAGTATTGGACTGTATTCCTAACACACTGAAAAATCTTTCAAGTTCACATAGTGATTTGGAAGCCATACGATGAAAGGTTATTAGCAATTTTTGAAATGATATTAAAGTCCATTAGGAAAAAGATTGGAAAATTTAGAAAAATAATCAAAATTTGGCCCCATATAGAATTATAGCCACATTTTTATGGTTATGCTAATTATAACCAAAAGTTAATGATATCGTCTTCTTTTAAAAAAAAAAAAATATATATATATATATATATAACCAAAAGTTTATAAAAAAATACTAATATACCCTTAAAAGTACCATACACAAATTCGCCACTTTCAATAATTAGTTATGCTTGCTAGTGGCGTAGCCAGGAATTTACCTTAATGGGGTCACGAACAAGAAGCTTCCGAAAAATAATATACTTTCGTTTCATTTATAATTGGTAACTACGTGTTCTCATATTTTAGAATGTCATATCATAACATCATTATCAATAGAATCAAATACATTTTTATTGAATATGGCTAAGTAATCAATAAACCATTCATTTTTCATTGTATACAACCATTGATTTTCCATATGATGTGAATTATTTACGATATTGATCACTGACAAACCTCTCTCTATTTTGGAAAGGTTGTTTTGGTATGTTTTAATTAAAAAATATTAATAAATGGTCTATCTATTTTGTTTGCCTTAGCTATTATAGGGGTTATATAAAAATTCAAAGGGGAGACATTTGAAGTTATTGGGGGTCAGTGGCAGCCGATGCCTCCCTTTTGGCTCCGCCACTGATGCTTGCAATGAGGAAGACTTATGAGTCCAAAGTGAATAGATCGACTAAGGATCGTTTAGAAGTTAGATGTGTGAATGATAGTTGTAAATGATAGCTTCATATCAACTTTCAATCTATCCACTTTGAACTCATAATTTTAAAGATATTATATTAACACTCCACATATTGTTGAATAAACCTCACATACTTAATACACCCCGCATTTTCTTTTTTCAACTAAAAATTATCTTAACACACCTCACATACTTCTCCACAATACCCCCTCTCACCCCACATTCTCAACATACACCTTACATTTCACATACAGCCCACATTCTACCAATACTGATTTAGCCATGAAGATCATTTTTTACCAGAGCTCATAATTTATTAATCTATCTAAATTTTAAATCCGAATAGTTCGTGCCTGCAACCAATATTTTAGCCATGATGTTCATTTTTTACTAGAGCTCATAATTTTTCCAGATTTATTTTTCTCGTAAGTTTTTCAAAGTTGGTCGAATTAAAATTTAATTATTGAATTCTCAGTCCCTTTATTAGTTCCATCTTCCTCCCATAAATTTAATCAGATCAGGCTCAAAATATGCAGGGAACAGTATTTATGTACCCCTCTTTAATTTCTTACATCTCTTTCTTTAATTTGGGGTGGCTGGTCCGTGGTTACATTTGAGATCCTGGATTCGACTTTTTTTTTCTCCGATATCATTTGTATATATTTATGATAAGAAAGTCATATAATACGTAGTTAACCATTAAATGGTTCAATATATATATATATATATATATATATGTGAGACACTCATTATCTATGATTATAGAAAACAAAAACGGTTTAACAGGATTAACAAAATGGCTAGCTCTTCATTTTGTTTCCTAAAATTGCCTAACAAATCGCACGTTTCTCTCTCTTTCGATCTCCCCCCCCTCTCTCTCTCTCTCTCTCTCTCTCTCTCGCTCTCGATCTCTCTCTCTCTCTCAAGTCTGTCTGCACCATTCCCCTTTCTATTATCTTTTCCTGTAAAACTTCCTCCTCCAAACCATCAGGTCGGGCAGATCCTGCCTTCCTCCATCATGGCTTCGGTAAACATTTTCTCCATTTCTCCGCTTTTTTTCATTATTTTCCCTCATTTTTCTGTACAAACATGTATAAATTTCGGGTTATAGATGGCGATATAATTTCCGTACGTTGACCAATTAAAATTCTGTTCTTTTCTTTTTTGTTATGTGAATTCGTGACGGTTTATTAGGACAGAAAATATCAAAGAAAGATTGAATTTTATTAGGTTGTGCAATGCTCTAGATTTTAGTTTTGTTAGGAATTCAAGGTTTTCAATTCTAATGACCTAGAGACAATTGTTTTCCCATCATTCCTAGCATGGAAACTTATCATGCATTTCTGGAAAGATACGTATGCATGGAGGATCTTCCTTCGAGCCCTTCTTTTCGTTTTTCCTTTTTGGTGCAAATTCATTGCCTCTCATAGGGATTCGACATAATAACAGAGTGCCGGCTGTCGACTACCTAACCCCCTCACCCTCCTCCTTTATTCGGGCTTGGGATCGGCAGTATAAGCTAAACTTACACAGACGGAGTTTGCAAATTCATTGCCCCTAATCAATCAAATTGTTACCCATCTTAATGTGAAATTCTTTTCTTGTTTTCATTACAATGGTTAGAGAGCACAATATAGTGTCATGCATGATTCTTTTGCTTAAGTTTATTAAAAAGTAAATTCTAAGTCCCGATGCAGTTGCTTAACGACACACATACATGTCGCTGTGTAAGAAACGCAGAAGATTGATGTGGAGGTAAGGTGAAGGTTAGATGAACAAGGACGTGAAAAATGGAGGCAGATGTGTGGAAATATAATTTGGTTTGATTTCATTAAGTCTTCGGTGTTACAGACCGAGTAGGATCAAGACGATTGATGACCTAGCCAGTTTAGTGTATCTGCAGATACTAATCGGAGCTTGTTTTTACAATATTTCAGCAGGATAAAGGTCGACCGTTGCCGAAATTCGGGGAATGGGATGTAAACAACCCAGCTTCAGCTGAAGGATTTACTGTTATATTCAACAAGGCCAGAGATGACAAGAAGACCAGTGCGGCTCAAGTGAAGATCGTCACCCCACGAAAAAATGACGGCAGCACACGAAGAAATGGTGCTGGATACAACACTGTCAATGAGCATTATCCTAAGTATCCTCCCCCAAAGGTAACAAACACTATAGAAGTTGCTCATGAAATTTGATGTTTGCGTTGTGTCCGTATATATGGGCTGTTTGGAGTGCCTTAAGAAGGCTAAAATCGCTTTTAGACAAGCAACAACGCTTCTAATAACCTTTGGCAGGAAATGTTAAACTTACTTCATGAAGCGCGTGTTGTTAATGAAAATTTTCACGAGCTTCTCTCAAAAAAGTTATGATAAGTATAAGTGTTTTCTAGATTAGCATTTTCAAACGGCGCTTCCATAAAAGAAGCACATGGCAGGTGCTTTCTGTAATTTTTTTCCTCCAAGTATATGGTTAGAAAGCGCTTTTAGTGATCTAAAAGTGTTTTTAGTTATTTTGAAAGCACTTCTAAATAGGTCACAAATCTTCTCATAGCTTTGTTACTAATCTTCTAACTGAATATTTGCAGAATAAATGGTTTTGCTGTGGTTAAACGAATCAACAACTGCTCACGAGGGCGAGGTGATGATGCAAAAATATTAGGGTGGGACTGGGAGGAGTTACTACAAACGAATTAAAGAAATTTTTTTCTTGTGCCTGGGAAATATATGTGGAACAGCAAATCTCTCATATATATAAAAAAAGTTCTTTTTGTTCCTTCTTTTTTTTCTTTTCACTTCTGCTTTTATTGATTTTGGCTTCTTTTGCACTTCTATGCCTGTATATATATGTTGTGCGGTCCTCAGTTAAATAATTGGGCACAAGAACGTCACTTTATTTAGGTTTGCAGCAGTTGATTCTTGCTTGTTACAGGACCTTGTATCAATCTGATCATCCCACTCCCCAAGTCCGAGAGCTCGCTTGGTGCCTAAGATTGGATATAACACAGTAAATTCAAGCATGTTGAAGGATAGAAGAAACAAAGAAGTTTTGTCCAAGTTAAAAGGTAGAAGATGAAGTGCAGAGTGAAGAAAACATATCATTTTCAACCCCCCACAAAATGGCAGGATACCAACATCTCTTATAACTTATCCCTTCTAATCCTGTCCCCAGATGAAGAATCATTCACAACTATCTCCATTTCTTACTTCACCATATCTTAAAATAGCAAATTATGAAATCTAATTCCACGCACCAAATGAGAAGGTTTGACAAATTCACTTCAGGAGGAGGCACGTACACAAGTATTTTTTTGTCAAACCTCGTAAATTCTTGATGCGCTCTCGTTTGTTTTGCTCACTGTCGTCGAGGATCATCAAAAATTTTTTGTCCCGTCGAATTATTCTTCGCAATGAGAGGATCAAATAATCTCTATGTAGACACTAACTTGGTTCAAAAAACAAAATGTTTTGAGTTCATCCAGCAATTCTTCCCCATTGTTGGGGTTTGTTTGGTTTGGAGATCAATAGTTAACACAATCACTTCTGTAGGTAGGATTATCCAACAAGCAAATCAAAGATTATTGGGAAGTGAGCATAACCACAAAGCAAAGTTGAGAGTATACTCCCCAAATTTAACCTGTATTTTCTAGTCAAATCACATCAAATACGAAATAATTTACATTTTCCGGCTTCAATTAAGTTCTTACATCCGAAAGACCGCTGGCAGCCGGGTGACAAGGTTTGACACATTTCCAAGTTAAAAATAACAAAACGATTCACTGCTCTAGCTGGCGTTTCATGCAAAACTTATAACTCAGGCTGTTGCGGAATTGTAGCATCAGTCCCAGCTCTACTTCCAGATGTTCAAAGGGCATGAGAAGGAAAAGAAAGAAGTCAAAACACGAAAACATCCGACTATTATCCCTAAAACAATGGTAATTCATACATCAAAATCATGAGAGGTAAATAAACCCAAGACTATAATACCGGAGTGATGAATTCTGTAGTTTCGGAATGAATCCCATGAGATTCATAAGCGGATTGTGGGTGAGATTCTTCTGCAGGTGTAGGATCAGGGTGATTAAACAAGCAGTTGTTTTCATGCTTGCAAGTGCCATTTCGCATATAGTGCCAACAATCTTTCTTCCCCTGTAGTACGTTAAAATAATTATTCAGCAAACATATGGACACTTGATAGTAAGCTCCAACAGACTAAGAAAATAGCAAAGACAAAATCTCAAATCTTAAGCACCATGAATAGATAGATATTCATTCCTCATATTTTTGCAGATCAAACCGAGAGTTTATACCGGACGAATTGGCAGGCCCAAAAAGTTAAGTTCCAGAGCTGGAGCTACAGAGGGTTCCCCTTTACGTCGTCCTGGGCAATGCTGCAACAAGCTCAAGTGTTATATTAACATCATGAAACTGTTTCTAGGCTGCCATGCACATTGCACAGATTTGAATAAGAGGGTACAAAGGGAAAGAAATGCCATTCACAACTTAAAAATTAATTGTAATCCTGTATAAAAAGGAATATGTGATTGTAATGTAACACCATACAATTGTCATGAAAACACATCAACTATAAGTTGATCATGTTCAAGACCCTCAACGTTCTATAGTTAGCTACGAGATAGAAGGTTTAAGATAACCATGTTGCCTATGAGTTGATCACGTTCAGTTGTGCATGCTAACCTACTAGCTTTCAGATAACCGTATGAGAAGCCCCATTGTCACTCAAAACAGAAAGAGTTAAGATATTACGCGAAACCAAATACGCAAAGTAAAACAAACTTAATGATCTAAAACATGAAAACCAAGCAGTTGCAGTGAAAACAAGAACTTCGGATAGATAGTAACCTTGCTTTCAGTCCGGTCTTGCTTCTCTGCCAACTCTTCCTTCTGCTTTGCCTTGTTCTTAGACACCTTCTTCTTATATATATGATAAAGTTCAAAACACCAAGAAACACAATGTGAGCACCAATAACACAAATATTTCCGGAATCATACAAGGCCAGATGCATTAATGTTTCAAACGCTAAATGCAGGCACAAAGTCTCCCTTTTTTTTTTGTTAATCAAAAGTCCCAATTTTTCACGTACAAATTTCATCGCAAAGATGCATGTGAAAGAAAAACATCATCTCTAACAAATATGATATGTGCCTCCATTTCGAGTCAATTCTGCTAACAAAGATCATCGCGGCACAATAACCTAACCGATGAACACATTCTATACACGATGAGAGCTGAGGCCGAGAAATCATGAAAAGTCTCAATCTTTCAATCATAAAAACACATATGCAAATACTAAAAACAAAAAAGTTATGATACTACTTGCAACCAAATATGCAAAGTAAAACAAACGTAATGATGTAAAACATGAAAACCAAGCAGTTGCAGTCAAAACCAGAATTTCGGACAGATAATAACCTTGCTTTGGGTCTGGTCTTGCTTCTCTTCCAACTCTACCCTCTGTTTTGCTTTGTGCTTACACACCTTACAAAGTTCAAAACACCAAGAAACACAAAGTGAGCACCAACACCACAAATATTTCCTGCAATTACAAGGCCAGATGCATTAATGTGTCAAACACTAAATGCAGGTCAAAGTTTTTTACTCTATAATACATGCATACATGCATTTCTAGGCTGAAACAATGGGAGCCAAGCCCGCGAAAACATGAAAATACTCAATATTTCAACCATAAACATACATATGTAAATGCTAAATGCGAAAGATGAGTGATATACCTGCTTGTTTTTCCTTCCCCGAGGGTGATTAAACTTGCAATTCGATCCAAACTTACAACTGCCAGTCTTCAGATACAACAAACAGTCTCCAGCTTTCGGCCTCAATGGGTACTGATTCCTTCTGCTACTCTCCGCAACAACCTCGTTCTCCACGTCACCACCATTCTGATTCCCTCCTCTAATGCCGCTGCTTTTGCCCTCTCTCTCCATCTCATTTTCCTTTTCAGACTCTCTCTCCTTCTCTTCTTCTTCTTTTTTCTCCCATTCCTTCAAACTCAACTCCCAAATCTCGTCAACGATGGCAGGATTGAAGTTCCAATTCTCAAAGGCGGGGTCGAATTGCTGAAATTTATCGAAGATGGCATAGGTCCTATCGAGCTCAGTGGGGTCAGGTCCCTGAATCCATTCAAGGATTTCAGGATTGAGATCGGATGGCAAAGGAGACTGACTAAACAGCGGATGATCACTTTGATCATCGATGCAGTTACACACCTTATAAAGTAGAAAACGGCAAGCATGAAAACCAAGCAGTTGCAATAGAAAGTTAAAAACCAGAACTTTGGATAGATAATAACCTTGCTTTCGGTCTGGTCTTGCTTCTCTGCCAAATCTTCCCTCTGCTTTGCCTTGTCCTTAGACACCTTCTTCTAATAAGTATGATAAAAGTTCAAAACACCAAGAAACACAAAGTGAGCACCAACAACACAAATATTTCCTGCAATCATACACGGCCAAATGCATTAAGGTCTCAAACGCTAAATGCAGGTCCAACGTTCCCATTTTTTTTGTTAATACGAAGTCCCGATTTTTCATGTACAAATTTCATCGCAAATATGCATGTGAAAGAATACATCATCTCTAACAAATATGATATCTGCAGCCATTTCGAGTCAATTCCGCTGACAAAGATCATCATCGCAGCATAATAAACTAACCGATTAACACATTCTTACACTATAACACATGCATACATGTCTTTCTAAGCTGAAACAATTAGAGCTGAGCCCGGGAAAACACGAAAATCCTCAATCTTTCAACCATAAACATGCACATGCAAATGCTAAATGCGAAAGACAAAGTGATATACCTGCTTGTTTTTCCTTCTCCGAGGGTGATTAAACTTGCAATTCGATCCAAACTTACAATTGCCAGTCTTCAGATACCACCAACAGTCTCCAGGTTCCGGCCTCAATGGGTACTGATTCCTTGTGCTACTCTCCTCAACACCCTCCTTCTCCACCTCACCACCATTCTGATTCTCTCCTCCAATGCCGCTGCTTTCATTCTCTCTCTCCTTCTCGTTTTCCATTTCAGTCTCTCTCCTCTTCTCTTCTTCTTTTTTATTCTTTTCCTTCAAACTCAACCCCAAAATCTCGGCGGGGTCGAATTGCTGAATTTTATCGAGGATGGCGTAGATCCTTTCGAGCTCGGCGGGGTCAAGTGTCCGAATCCAATCAAGGATTTCAGGATTGAGATCTGATGGCAGAGGAGACGGAATAGACGGTGGACGACCACTTCGATCATCACTTCGATCATCGATGCGGTTGTTGTTAATGGGATTTAGGGGAACGGCGACGCTTTCATAGAGTTCCGATAGCCGTCCGGATCGAAAGTGCCTATTAATTACGGGTCACATTGAAAGTGACACCTGAAGCAGGAAACTCGCTGCCGGAAACATTGGTAGTTTTTGTGCTGGTGGCGGCGGTGGCGACGGTGGCTGAAACGGGGTTGCTGGGTTTGCAGTAAACTTGCAACCAGCAGCTACGCTATCGTTTATGGATGAAATTGAGTTTAAGTTGGTTGATTAATTCAAAGCCGTCTGCTTTTTCTAGCGGAGGCATATTTGGATTGCATTTCAATTCCAAAGCTGCTTTAGCAAAAGTAGACACGGAAATAGATGGACTGGGTACAGTGCCTCTTACTTCGATGCAACGGAATCATAATGTTTCAAAATATCAGAAAAGGATGTATCTTTATGTAAAGATCCTACTCAGCCGTGTATCATGCATCAGAAATCATTTAACTTTTATTATTTTAAATTAAACACAAATAATATCTGACAAAAATTAATTGTATAATACATAATGAATAGGATATGGGGATCCGATCCTCACACAATGGATTTGAAGAGGATCATTTTCCCAAAATATCAACTGAATACACTGCTTACTCTCCCATTTTGATTATCCTAGATTTTTTGTTTTTATTTTGAGTCAAAAGTTGACTTATATGATATTGGTTGACTTATTTTACCTGGGTTCACCATCCCTTCTCTTCACTTGGGTCAAAGATTGACTTATATGACCTGAATTCACCATCACCGTCACCTTCATAGGTCCCCCTCCAGTGCCGTGACCTACAAGCATGTTAATTTGTAATATGGGTATGCATTCTTCATTGGTGTTTTACATGCAAGTTTGATCAATGTTACATGCAAGATACACAATGCATGCAACCCCGCAACAAGTTCGATACACAACAGAAGATGCCAGCAGAACTTATGGAGCGAGATCCACAACCAAGCCATTTGAAGATGCTCGGAGAATAGGCAATGACGACGAAATTGAAAACCTGTATCTTCCGGGAAAATGACATAGATAAGAAATAATTTACACGTTCCATTTCCCTTGAGTTCTCACAACCAAAAAGTTTGTCATTCGGGTGGAAAAAGAGATTACACATGTCCAGATGACCTCAGTGATGCGAATCCTGTGCTCTAGGCAAGCATTTCATGCATAGCTCATTGCACGGGCTGCGGCTGACTTGTACCATCAGTTCCTTCCAGTTCTTCGTACCCCATTTGCAGTTTCCGAGTCACAGAAAGGAATCTGACAAAGACGGATGGTCAAATCTGCACGTTGCCCCAGAACAGCTAACGCCAGAGCGACTGCTGTGGCCTGTGTGCAAACGTTCTGACCCTGGATTGGAAACAAATTTAGGATCAAAACTTATGTAATTGATGACATGCAATAACAAAGCACAATAAGTGATCAAACCGAGTCTTGCATATAGGAAACCAAAGTACTTTCCTTGGTACTTGTATCACAAAGTGAAAATACTTCTGAGATCATAATCCATAGTTACGAATTCTCTATAAAAAGAACATTTTGAAAAAGAGTGAACTTACTGGTCTTAAAGGGAGATCCTCGTAGATGCAAACCGGTTGCCCAGGTCGTTCTGGTAATTCTTCAACTTGCTTCAGCTGTGCATATTGTCCGTCGAAGTTGATTTCAGTCACTGCGTTGTTCATAACATATGGTGGAGGTACAGGATACTATTAGGGAACCCAATTAAAAGGTTTAGATGTACCGAAGTGAAAACGTAAGCATGTTACTACAACTGATGCCGACAACAGTTTGCTCAAAATATTGGAAATTTAAAGTCCTTAATGGAGGACCATATTACTAGTTTTATGAGCCAAAACATGAATAAAAAAGGGCATGAGAAGGAAAAGAAAGAGGTCAAAACACGAAAAATCCGGACTCTTATCCCTTAAAAGATGGTAATTCGTCATGAGAGGTAAATAATCCGAAGACTATAATACCGGCGTGATGACAAAAGTACCTGATAATCATTCCATTCTCTAGTTTCGGAATGAATCCCATGAGATTCATCAGCGGATTGTGGGCAATGCTGCAACAAGCTCCAGAGCTAGAGCTACAGAGGGTTCCCCTCTACGTCGTCCTGGGCAATGCTGCAACAAGCTCGATCGTTATATTAACATCTTGAAACTGTTAATAGGCCACCATGCACATTGCAGAGACTTGAATAGGAGGGTAAGAAGGGAAAGAAATGTCATTCACAATTCAAAATTCAATGTAACAGCGTACTACTGTCATGAAAACACATCGGCTATAAGTTGATCACGTTCAAGACCCTCATCATTCTATAGTCAGCTGCAGGATAAAAGGCTTAAGATAACCACATCGACTATAAGTTGATCACGTTCAGTTGTGCATGCTAACCTACTAGCTTTCAGATAACCATATGAGAAGTCCCATCGTCACTCAAAGCAGAGAGAGTTAAGATATTACGCGAAACCAACTATGCCAAGTAAAAGAAAACTTAAGGATGTAAAACATGAAAACCAAGCAATTGCAGTAAAAACCAGAACTTCGAATAGATAATAACCTTGCTTACCTTGTATCAATCTGATCATCCCACTCCCCAAGTCTGAGAGCTCGCTTGGTGCCTAAGATTGGATTTGATTTGATAACACAGTAAATTCAAGCATGTTGATTCCAAGTTAAAAGGTATAAGATGAAGTGTAGAGTGAAGAAAACATCATTTTCAACCCCCCCCCCCCCCCAACAAAATGGTAGGATACCAACATCTCTCATAACTTATCCCTTCTAAACCCGTCCCCATATGAAGAATCATTCACAACGACTGTGAAGGTTTGACAAATTCACTTCAAGAGGAGGCACATACACGAGTTTTTTTTTTTGTCAAACCTCGTAATTTCTTGGTGCACTCTCATTTGTTTTGCTCATTGTCATCGAGGATCATCAAATTTTTTTGTCCCGTCGAATTATTCATCGCGATGAGAGGATCAAATAATCTCTATGTAGACACTAACTTGGCTCAAAAAACAAAATGTTCGAGTTCATCCAGCAATTCTTCCCCATTGTTGGGGTTTGTTTGGTTGGTTTGGAGGTCAATAGTTAACACAATCACTTCTGTAGGTAGGATTATCCACAAGCAAATCAAAGATAATTGGGAAGAGACCATAACCACAAGGCAAAGTTGAGAGGATACTCCCCAAATTTAACCTGTATTTTCTAGTAAAATCACTTCAACTACGAAATGATTTACATTTTCCGGCTTCAATTAACTTCTTACATCCGAAAGACCGCTGGCAGCTGGGTGACAAGGTTTGATACATTTCCAAGTCAAAAATAAGAAAACGATTAACTCCTCTAGCCCGCGTTTCATGCAAAACTTATAACTCAGGCTGTTGCGGAATTGTAGCATCAGTCCCAGCCATACTTCCAGATGTTCAAAGGGCATGAAAAGGAAAAGAAAGAAGTCAAAACACGAAAACAAATGGTAATTCGTACATCAAAATCATGAGAGGTAAATAAACGGTAAACCCAAGACTATAATACCGGAGTGATGACATCATTCCATTCTGTAGTTTCGGAATGAATCCCATGAGATTCATAAGCGGATTGTGGGCGAGATTCCTTGGCAGGTGTAGGATCAGGGTGATTAAACAAGCAGCTGTTTCCATACTTGCAAGTGACAGTTCGCATATAGTGCCGACAATCTTTCTTCCCCTGTAATACGTTAAAATAATTATTCAGCAAACATATGGACACTTGATAGTAGCTCCAACAGACTAAGGTTTGATTTGGTATTGCTGTGCTTTGAAAAAAAGCTGCTTCTGCTGTGCTTTGAGAATAAGCTGCAGAGTGTTTGGTAAACTTTTTTGTAAAAATGCTTTTGAAAAAAAAAAAGCAGTATTATAGTGTTTGGTAAACTTGTTTGGTAAACTTTTATGTAAAAGTACTTTTGAAAAATAAAAGCAGTATTATAGTGTTTGGTAAACTTTTATGTAAAACAGACGTGAAAAAAAGCCGGTTTTTCAAAGCTGGGTTTTGCAACTTCTTGTTTTTGGCTTTTTTTCACCCAAAACTGTGAAAAAAAGTTGAAGCTGAATGTTTACCAAACACAAAAACAGCTCCCAGCTTTTTTTGATACCAGCTTTTTTCAGAATCACCTCAGTACCAAACCAGACCTAAAAAAATAGCAAAGACAAAATCTTAGATATTCATTCCTCATATTTTTGCAGATCAAAAGAGTTTATACCGGACGAATTGGCAGGCCCACAAAGTTAAGTTCCAGAGCCGGAGCTACGGAGGGTTCCCCTTTACGTCGTCCTGGGCAATACTGCAACAAGCTCAAGTGTTATATTAACATCATGAAACTGTTACTAGGCCGCCGTGCACATTGCACAGATTTGAATAGGAGGGTACAAAGGGAAAGAAATGTCATTCACAATTTAAAAATTAATCGTAATCCCGTATAAAAAGGAATGTGTGATTGTAATGTAACACCATACAATTGTCATGACAACACATCGACTATAAGTTGATCGCATTCAAGACCCTCATCGTTCTATAGTTAGCTACAAGATAAAAGGTTTAAGATACGTCGCCTATGAGTTGATCATGTTCAGTTGTGCACGCTAACCTACTAGCTTTCAGATAAACCATATGAGAAGCCCCATCGTCACTCAAAACAGAAAGAGTTAAGATATTAAATGAAACCAAATATGCAAAGTAAAACAAAACTTAAGGATGTAAAGCATGAAAACCAAGCAATTGAAGTAAAAACCAGAACTTCGGATAAACAAAAATCTTGCTTCCGGTCTGGTCTTGCTTCTCTGTCAACTCTTCACTCTGCTTTGCCTTGTACGTAGACACCTTCTAAACAATATGATAAAGTTGAAAACACCAAGAAACACAAAGTGAGCACCAACAGCACAAATATTTCATCCAGTCATACAAGGCCAGATGCATTAATGTTTCAAACACTAAATGCAGGTCCAAAGTCGCGATTTTTCAGTTAATCCGAAGTACCAATTTTCACGTACAAATGTCACCACAAAGATGCGTGCGAAAGAAAAACATCATCTCTAACAAATATGACAAGTGCTTCATTTCGAGTCAATTCCACTGACAAAGATCATCATCATCATGGCATAATAAACTAACCGATTAACACATTCTTTACACTATAACACATGCAGACATGCATTTTTCAGCTAAAGCATGAAAAGAAGAGAGCTAAACACGAAAAGTCTCAATCTTTCAACCATAAACATACATATGCAAATGCTAAATACAAAAAGTTAAGATACTAATTGAAACCAAATATGCAAAGTAAAACAAACTTGATGATGTAAGCATGAAAACCAAGCAATTGCAGTAAAAAGTTCAAAACCAGAACTTCAGATAGATACTAACCTTGTTTTTGGTCTGGCCTTGCTTCTCTGCCAACTCTCTCCTCTGTTTTGCCTTGTCCTTAGACACCTTCTAATAAATATTTTAAAGTTCAAAGCACCAAGAAACACAAAGTGAGCACCAACAACACAAATATTTCATCCAGTCATACAAGGCCAGATGCATTAATGTTTCAAACACTAAATGCAGGTCCAAAGTTGCCATTTTTCATGTACAAATTTCACCATAAAGATACATGTGAAAGAAAACGTCATCTCTAACAAATATGATAAGTGCCTCCATTTCGATTTTTCGAGTCAATTGCACTGACAAAGATCATCATCACGGCATAATAAACAAACCAATCAACACATTCTTTACACTATAACACATGCATACATGCATTTCTCAGCTAAAGCCTGAAAAATTGAGAGCTGAGGCCGGGAAAACACAAAAAGTCTCAATCTTTCAACCATAAACATAGATATGCAAATGCTAAATACAAAAAGTTAAGATACCACTTGAAACAAAATATGCGAAGTAAAACGATCTGAATGATGTAAAACACGAAAACCAAACAGTTGCAGTTAAAAGTTCAAAACCAGAACTTCGGATAGATAATGACCTTGCTTTTGGTCTGGTCTTGCTTCTCTGCCAACTCTTCCCTCTGCTTTGCCTTGTCCTTAGACACCTTCGTCTAATAAATATGATAAAGTTCAAAATACCAAGCAACACAAAATGAGCACCAAAAACACAAATATTTCATGCAATCATAGAAGGCCATAAGCATTAATGTCTCAAACGCTAAATGCAGGCCCAAGGTTCCTATCTTTTTTGTTAATCCAAAGTCCAAAGTTTTCATGTACAAATTTCACCAAGCATGTGAAAGGAAAAAAAATCATCTCTAACAAATATGATATGTGCCTCCATTTCGAGCCAATTCCGCTGACAAAAATCATCATTGCGGCATAACAAACTAACGATTAACAAATTCTTTAATTACACTATAGCACATGCATACATGCATTTCTCAGTTGAAACAATGAGAGCTGAAGTCGGGAAAATAAGAAAAGTCTCAATCTTTCAACAATAAACATACATACGAAAATGCTAAATACAACAAGTTAAGATACTACTTGAAATCATATATGCAAAGTCAAACAAACTTAATGATGTAAAACATTTAAAGTAGTTGCATTGAAAACCAGAACTACGGATAGATAATAACCTTGCTTTCGGTCTGGTCTTGCTTCACTGCCAACTCTTCCCTCTGCTTTGCCTTGTCCTTAGACACCTTCTTCTAATAAATTTGACAAAGTTCAAAACACCAAGAAACACAAAGTGAGCATCAACAACACAACTATAGTATTAAAAGCGCGAGGCGTGGGTGAGGCGTCCGAGGGATAGCCCAGCCTAGGCATGAGGCGAAGCCTCACGAGACCTAAATTTTTTAATATATACACTGAGCATACACATATATTATATTAAAAAAGAAGAAGATTATTAATCAATAATCACCCTGAGCACACACATATATTATAAATACATATACACACATATATATACATATATTATATATATAAGATAGAGGATGAAAAGCACAATGAGCACACATATAACAATGCACGTAGACGGCATACACATCCTTTATATAAAAAATAAAAATCAGAGAACAAGGCAGAGAGATGATAGTGCAAGGAAGAGGTATGAGGCAGTTAAAACCCTACCCAAAATTTGGGTTTGGGAGTATTAAAAAATAAAAATAAAAAATAAAAAATAAAAAATCCCCTGAGGTGCGCCTAGCGGCTCCGGCGACACCTTCCAGCGCCTTCCGCCCACTCCCTCAAAACAGAGGCGTCAACCCTCAAGCCCAGCCTCACAGGGCGCCTAGATGCGCCCTGAGGTGAGCCTTTTAAAACATTATTTCCTGCAATCATATAAGGCCGGATGCATTAATGTCTCAAACACTAAATGCAGGCTCAAAGTCTCAATTTTTTTGTTAATAAAAAATCCCCATTTTTTCACGTACAAACTTCACCACGAAGATGCATGTTAAAGAGAAATATCATCTCCAAAAAATATGATATGCGCCTCCATTTTAAGTCAATGCCGCTGGAAAAATCATCATCGCGGCATAATAAACGAACCGATTAACACATTCTTTACGCTATAACAGATGCATACATGCATTTCTTAGCTGAACCAATCAGAGCTGAGGCCGGGTAAACACGAATAGTCTCAATCTTTCAACCATAAACATACATATGCAAATGCTAAATACAAAATGTTAAGATAGTACATGAAACCAAATATGCAAAGTAAAACAATCTTAATGATGTAAAGCAGGAAAACCAAGTAGTTGCAGCAAAAAGTTAAAAACCAGAACTTCGGATTGATATTAACCTTGCTTTCGGTCTGGACTTGCTTCTCTACCAACTCTTCCCGCTGCTTTGCCTTGTCCTTAGACACCTTCTTCTAATAAATATGATAAAGTTGAAAACACCAAGAAACACAAAGTGAGCACAAAAAAAAAAAAAAAAAACAAATATTTCCTGCAATCATACAAGGCCATATGCATTAACGTCTCAAACGCTAAATGTACGTCCAAAGTCCCCATTTTTTTTGTTAATTCAAAGTCCCGATTTTTAACGTACAAATTTCAGAACAAATATGCACGTGAAAGAAAACATCAGCTCCAACAAATATGATATTTGCCTACATTTCAAGTCAATTCTACTAACAAAGATCATCATCGCAGCGAAATAAACTGACTATAACACATGCATACATGCATTTCTCAGCTGAAACAATGAAAAGCTGAGGCCTGGAAAACACGGAAAGTCTCGATCTTTCAACCATAAACATGCATATGCAAATGCTAATTACAAAAAGTTAAGATACTACTTGAAACCAAATATGCAAAGTAAAACATGAAAACCAAGCAATTGTTGTAAAATCATAACTTCGAATAGATAATAACCTTGTTTTCGGTCTGGTCTTGCTTTTCTGCCAACCCTTCCCTCGGCTTTGCCTTGTCCTTAGACACCTCCAACACAAGGTGATCACCAACAAATATTTCCTGCTATCATACAAGGCCAGATGCATTAATGTTTCAAACACTAAATGCAGGCCCAAAGTCCTAATTTTTTTTTTGTTAATCCAAAATCCTGATGTTTCACGTACAAATTTCACCACAAAGATGCATGTGAAAGAAAAACTTCATCTCTAACAATTATGATAAATGCCTCTATTTTGAGTCAACGGCAGCATAATAAACTAACCGATTAACACATACTTTACACTATAACATATGCATGCATGCATTTCTCAGCTGAAACAATGAGAGCTGAGGCCGGGAAAGCACGGAAAGTCTCAATCTTCCAACCATAAACATAGATATGCAAATGCTAAATACAAAAAGTTAAGATACTACTTGAAACCAAATATGCAAAGTAAAAACAAACATAATGACGTAAAACATGAAAACCAAGCAATTTGTTGTAAAATCATAACCTCGGATAGATAATAACCTTGCTTTCGGTCTGGTCTTGCTTTTCTGCCAACTTTTCCCTCGGCTTTGCCTTGTCCTTAGACACCTTCAACAAAAAGTGATCACCAACAAATATTTCCTGCTATCATACAAGGCCAGATGCATTAATGTTACAAACACTAAATGCAGGCCCAAAGTCCCAATTTTTTTTGTTAATCCAAAGTCCTGATGTTTCGCGGACAAATTTCACCATGAAGAATCATGTGAAAGAAAAACTTCATCTCTAACAATTCTGATAAATGCCTCCATTTCAAGTCAACGGCAGCATAATAAACTAACCAATTAACACATACTTTACACTATAACATATGCATGCATGCATTTCTCAGCTGAAACAATGAGAGCTGGGGCCTAGAAAACATGAAATGTCTCTCTTTCAACCATAAACAGACATGCAAATGCTATATACAAAATGTTAAGATACTACTTGAAACCAAATATGCAAAGCAAAACAAACTTATTGACGTAAAATATGAAAACCAAGCACTTGCTGTGAAATCATAACTTCGGAATTCGGATAAATAATAACCTTGCTTTCAGTCTGGTCTTGCTTCTCTGCCAACTCTTCCCCCTGCATTGCCTTGTCCTTGGACACCTTCATCTAATAAATATGATATAGTTCAAAACACCAAGAAACACAAAGTGAGCACCAACAACACAAATACTTAATGCAATCATACAAGGCCAGATGCATTAATGTCTCAAACACTAAATGCAGGCCCAAAGTCCCGATTTTTCAAGTACAAATTTCACTGCAAAGAAGCATGTGAAAGAAAATCTTCATCTTTAACAAATATGATGTGTCTCCATTTCGAGTCAATCGCGCTGACAAACATCATCGTCACGGCATAATAAACTAACCGATTAACACATTCTTAATGCTATAACACATGCAGACATGCATTTCTCAGCTCAAACAATGACAGGTGAGGCCGGAAAACACGAAAAGCCTCAATCTTTCTACCCTAAACATACATATGCAATTGCTAAATGCGAAAGACGAGTGATATACCAGCTTGTTATTCCTTCTCCAAGAGTGATTCCTTGTGCTACTCTCCTCAACAACCTCCTTCACCACCTCACCACCGCTCTCATTCCCTCCTCCTCCGCTGCCGCTTTCGCTCTTTTCGCTCTGTCTCTCCTTCTCAGATTCCTCTTGAGTCTCTCTCTCCTTGCCTTCTTCTTTTTCCTCCTTTTCCTTCAAACTCAATTCCTGAATCTTCCGAATCTCATCAAGGAAGGCAGGGTCGAGATTCCTCATCCATTCGATCACGGCGGGGTTGAGTGTCCGAATCAATTCAAGGCTTTTAGGATCGAGATAGGACGGCGCAGGAGACGGAATAGACGGTGGATGATCACTTTGATCATCGATGCGGTTGTTGTCCATGGGATTTAGGGAAACGGCGACGCCTTCAGGGAGTTCCGATTGCCGTCCGGTTCGAAAGTACCTATAAAGTTCGACCAGCCGTTGGCAACATTGATAGTTTTTGTGCTGGCAGGGACGGCGGGGTCGGCGGCTGAAACTGGGATGCTGGGTTTGCTGTGAACTTGCAACTAGCAGCTACATTATCATTACGGATTAAATTGAGTTTTAGTTGGTTGCTTAATTGTAGAAACTGGGTTTTGACTGGTTAAATCAAAGTCGTCGGCTTTATCTAGCAGAGGCATGTTTGGATTGCTTTTCGATTCCAACGCTACTTTGGAAAAGCGGACATTCTTGTACTTAGACCCACTAGCTACAGTGCCTCTACCTAAACACCTCTTACTTCGATACGAAGGAATCATAAACCGATAAAGCTTTGCGCTACTTTACAACTTTCAAAATGTTTCAAAATCTCAACTGAATCTTAAACTTATGAAGCTTTGAGATATTTTATAACTCTTAAAATGTTTCAAAATCTCAAAGAAAGATTACATAATTTTATTTTTATAAGAAAAAGCCTAATTACTCTAATCAAATACTAATAAACTTACTAACTATATTACTGACTTATACTTGTACAATCATTTTAACTAATCATCTAACTAATGGTGTGGAGCTCTTAATAAGAACTAATAGCAAAAATGTTCTAATCATACAGTCTAAGCCACTCGAAATAAAAGAGGTATACCTGGTTGGTTTTCATTCTAACAGGGTGATTAAACTTGCAATTGGATCCAAACTTGCAATCATCGAGTTTGTTCTTAACAAAATCATTAGATGTAACCACTTGATCAAACTTTAAGTATCATTGTTTGGAAGCTTACTTGAGACCATAGATTGATTTCTTTAATTTACAGACCATATTCTCCTTCCCCCTTTCAATAAATCCAGGGGGTTGTACTATGTAAATGTCTTCTTGAAGATCACCATTGAGGAATGCTGTTTTTACATCCATCTGATGTAACTCAAGATCAAAGTGGGCAGTGATTGCCATAATAATTCGCATTGAATCTTTGGAAGACACTAGTGAAAATGTATCATTATAGTCAATACCTTCTCTCTGAGCAAACCCTTTAGCAACCAACCGAGCTTTATACCTCTCAATTTGTCCATGTGCATCCCTCTTAGTCTTGTACACCCATTTACACCTTATAGACTAGTCCTTGGCTCCACTAACACCCAAACCTGATTCTTGTACAATGAGTCCAGCTCCTCCTTCATTGCATTGTTCCGCAAACTTGACTGTGAACTCTTTATGGCCTATGAATAAGTTATTAGATCATCAATGTCTCCAATATTATAGTCAGTTTCTTGAAGATAATAAAAAAAAATCACTTGTAATTGCAAGTTTTCTTGTTCTTGTTAGGGGTGGAAAATTTTTCCATAAACTGATTTACTGACCGAACCATACCGGTCGGCTCATAATGGTATGGTATAGTTTTGGTATTTTTTCATAATCGGTTGGCATTTTACGGAACCGATAATTAATGGCATGACTTTGGTAATTAATTTTGTATGCCAGCGGTATGCCATACCTACCAATATATATATATATATATATATATATATTTTTTTTTTTTCTATTTAGATATTTTAGGTATTTTTTACATGCTTGACTGTTGACTCCTTAGTTTTAGGATTTAAAAAATATATGTATATGCATATGATTCATGCCATAATAAATATAGAAAATATTGTTAACAAAATTGATAGCATGATGATTACTGATACTATATATACACGTACATATATATATATATATATATATATGATTTTGAATGTATATGCGTTGCTTATGTTTAGGATGATGGAGTTTAGCCCATCAACTGTTGGTGCACAACATGGATTAACCCAAAATGAACCACACAATGCAACCGAACAACCACGCCAATTTGAAAATCAAAATAAGCCATTGGAACAGGAAGATAGCGAGGAAGAAGTGGAAACCATCGGTTGTGCCATTTACCAACCGAACCAGCCAATAATTTAGGCTAAATCGATTTTTGGCAACTACAAGAAGACAGTTGGCTAGCAGTAAACTGATTTTCGGTAATTATGTATATGTGGCTGGTATGGGGCACAAGGAATTTGGCACGGTTTGCCAAACGAACCCAGCCCTAGTTCTTGTGGATCTTCTGATTTCAGGTTGAACTTGAATATTGTCAATTTGTTGTGCAACTTGTTGAAGCATTATCAACCAATTCAATAGCTTGCTGACTCGATTCATGCCTGATTTCAGTTACTTCTTATTGCTCCATCACTTCAACTATTTCATTAGAATGATCAGACTCAATGTGTTGATCATTGGCTTGAGAGTACACCAAAATTGGGCAATGTTCACTTGAAGATGCTTCAATTGATGGTTGTTCAAGTTCCTCAAATATAAAGTTCTCAACGGTAAAATCTAAGACATCTTGATCTTCAAAAAACCTTGCATTATGGGTTTCCTTGATTCTGGTGTGAGCCAATGCACAATAGAACTTAAACCCCTTTGATTTT